AGATACTTGTCAAGAATCAGCTGAAAATTTGGATCAACTATAGCATTCTCGTTGATCAGTGAAAATCTGTAACCTATGTAGGCAATGCCTTTAATGGACAGTCTAATGGTACGGTCTGTCAGTTGTTTTCAGCGGATATCTACCAGTGGATCGTGATGGTTAAGTAGCTCCATGCTGTCGATAGGCATTTTGGCGGCGTCAGGTAGGAAAATCCACTGATTGTGTTTGCGTAAAGCTAAATTCGGATAGAAGTGGTAATATTCCCTTCGGTTCCGAGTGGAACATGGGGCTTCAACAACACATCTCTACTTCGTTCTATTTTCTGCCATCCTCCTCAGTTGGGTCCGCAACTGGCCATAATCCCTCACCTCTTCCAACTCACCACACGACCTCCTCCATGTCACCCTCGAACCGACGACACACTCGTTGCCCCCACTTGGATTTCACTCTAGGGATGGCATGGCTGGTGCGCAATGTCATGTGACAGTCTCGTAAATGTGTGCCCGATCCATCTCCATTTTCTCCTACATGTTTGTTGAGAAACTGGCTGTCGTCTGTTGGTTTGCTCTCAGACAGAGTTTGCTGCTAACTCTTTCTGGCTCGCGATCCTCAGTGTGGAGCCAGCAAAGAAGGCAACTGTCGAAGCCTTTTCGAAGCCCTTTTCGTGACATGATGGCCAAGTTTCTGACCTGCATAGAAGGACCAACTTGACACTGGTGTTGAAAATCCTGAATCTTGTTTCTAATGCTGCTGATTGCAGCAGATTTCCGAACTGGTTTCAGGTTGATGAAGGTGTGTCTTGCCTTTACGATTTTGACCTGCTTTCATGTCTTTATACATTCTGCCTGTAGTTAGAACGATTCTTCCTATGTAAGTGAATGAAGTGACATCTGCCAAATCTCTCCCTTTGATGATGACCGAGGCTGGTTGTTGTTGCGGTTCTTTGGTGATTTTCATGACTTCCATCTTCTCTCTGTTCACTTGGAGTCCTGCCTTCTCTGCCAGCTTCTCCAGCAAGATTTTTGGTTTTTCGCCCTCCAATCCATGAGCTTGTGTGACATCAGACATATATTATCCATGCGCAAATTACAGATTTTCTAGAGTCTTCTCGTCGGTGGTCCAGCGTACTCCTGTTTCCTCGAACCCCGCAGTCTGACGTATAACGCAGTTGGCGACGACTAAGAATATCATCGGTGCTAATAGACAGCCAGCCTTGCCTTGCTCCTGTCATCACTTCGACCGCCTCACTGAGCTTCTCGCTGTGGATCACACGGCACATGGCATTGTCATGTAGCTCTTGAGTAAGGTTGATGAAGACTTGAGGTGCAGCATAGAATTGAAGTAGTTCCCAAATTAAGTCTCAGTCAATGCTGTCGGGGACCTTTCAAAGTTAACGAAGTTGAGGTAGAGGTTTGATTGCCATTCCATGCTTTGTTCGTTGATGATGCGTAGAGTTGCAATTTGATCAGCGCATTATCTGCCCTTCCTGAATCCAGCTTGTTCCGGTGGTCGGAGTTCTGTATCCAGTGCATCTTTTATTCTCTCCAGGATGGTGTAACTTAATGTTTTACTTGGCACAGGAGCATTATTCCAAGCCATTTCCTGAACAGACCCCAGCCAAGCCTTTTTGATAGTATGAAAAGTCAGCCGGCCTGCCTCCCAAACCTTTTGCATTAATGGTGTAAGCGCATCTATTGCAGTTTCTGGGGCTGGTTTCAATGTCTCGGGTCGAGGGAATGCCGTCTGGTCCTGCTGTCTTCCCGGTTGGCATTGAGTAGCCTGATCGCATTCAGAGGAGTGGTATCCACTGGCAGGCATTTCTGTGCATGTCTCTAGTGGTAGCATTTCTGGGTGAGTTGCAGGTGATGGTCGGTTCGAGAGTCCTTCACAGTGATTAGCCCACCTTTTTTTCTCTTCCTCGGTATTCAGGTTACCTTGAACATTTTTTATTGTTTTCATCGTCTGGGTGGATCTTTACCGGGATAGCGATAGACCTGGTTATCTGATGTAGTGTTCTGAGGTCCCTTTTACTTGCGGCGAGTCTGTTCTGCTTCAGTTTCTTTCCTAACAGCATACTTCACCTCTTTATTCAGTCCAGTATACACTGAACGCAACTGCCCCTTCCCTTGTCCATCTTTGGACTCAGTCAACTTCTCCTTCACCATCCTCCTCTGTTCTGTTGGCTTCCAGGTATCGATTGAGAGCCATTCTTTGTCTTATCTCTTCTTTCTCCTTAGAACAGTTGTACATGTTTCCTTGAACACTAGCTTCGTAGAGTTCCAATGTTCTTCCACGTAGGCTACCTCAGTGATACCATGGTGTGTCTCCGACTTTGATCCGATCTAATCTGTAGTGAAGGCATTCCTTGTGGTTTTGTCCTTCAGTTTCTGAGTATTGAAATGAATTATAGCGGCCTGTCTCCCGTTTCAACTTCACGTTGGAGGTTCCTTGAACTAGACGATGGTCTGAACCCACATCTGCTGCTCTTCTCGACAATGTGTCCAACAGACTAGCTGCGTCTCTACTTCCTTGAGCAGCACTGATAATAAGTTTGTTTGGTTTGTGGTGTGTCCATCAGGCGAAATCCATGTTGTTTTGTGTATTTCCCTGTGCCGGTACATGGTTCCTCCGTTCATCAAAGCACTGAAAGCGCAGAAGTCTGCAAATAATCTTCCGTTCTCATTCATTTCTGCGAACGAGAGCCTGTCGACCTATGATGAGTTCGCTTTCTGTATTATTTGTTCCCAGTTTGACTTGCATTCATATGGCCCACATGGGGTTTCGATGTCATCATTCGCGAGGTTGTCCATTACTATTTGTAGTTGCCTGTAAAATCCTCCTTCTTTCCTTGTTCCACATTGTTTGTAGTGCTATTCATATCGTTGGATAATTGTTACCTTCCTCCCTGCCCTTTTAGTTGAATCTTGTTGTCACGATCCTGGATGAAATAAGTTCTGATTGCAGTAGGTCTTTGTCTGCCAGTGTTGGCATCATTATAGCCACTTACTGCCTCAGTGTGATCATAGTTTTCGTCGTGGTGACAGGACCGGGGCAGATTTCTGACTTACCAGTTGACAATTGTGATAGTCCCCATCTCGCAGATTTCAATGGCCGTTTCACTGAAGTTAGTCAGTGATGCGACCTGAAATATTAATCCACTTTAATTGCTGCCTTACTAGTTTTAATAGCAGTCAGATAATATATTTGTTAAGTTGTCGTGAATAATCTGGCAACCAGTAGACATTTTGTAATTCTGACCGTTTTGGCACGAATATCCCCGTGGTAGATTACTAATTCCTGCCCAAAGTTAACACAAAACAAGTTATGTCATCAAATAAGACCTATTGGTAGCTATTCAACTCAATCTTCTTATTGGACTGTGTTTCTTTTACGTGGTGTGAAACAATTCACTAGACGTCGTCACTCCAAATCCTAAAAAGGAAGGTAACAAAGGGGCGCTGCGCAGCGGAAACAAACGTTCCTGGCTGAGTTATAATTCACTGACCAACTCCAACGTTTATTCTTTCTTTTGCGTTCCGAATGGAACATATGGCATCAAGCTTGAGTCTTGACTAGCCTCACATTAAGCCTTCCTACATAACTGGGCTTACTGCTTGCCAAGAAGAGTTTAGGAATGCGTCGGCTATAAGCCGAAACATGACCACTTGCATAGTTGGTGCGATTCTTGCTATTGAACCACCGACGCAGTGCCTCTGCCGTATATATACAACCCTCAGCTTCATTTTTCCTGATATTTCTTTAGAACCTGTTGATACTGTGATCCTTCATATTGTAATGTTCCCCTTTATCAACAGTAAAAGTTTGCGTCAACAAAATTATTTCGGTAGTCAATGCATAAGGCTAACCAGCTTAACCCGTTATAACTGCATGTGTATACAAACGACAGCTGTAAAATAATGCTGAGGGTCAGACAGATGGTTAAAGTCGGCTACCCGTAGCGTTGACAATAAAGAATATAATTTCAGCCGAACATTCACGAGCAACTTGTCCATACATAGGGGGATTTTCCACACGGATGGCTAAATCTGTGAATGCAGAGAGATGTATATATATGTGAACCGACAGAAGACAAGGACCAGACAACAGATAATTTATTGAGAAAATCAACAGATATTTATACATTTTTATGTACATTATTATTCGTTATTGTTAGCAGAGAAGCGACGTACTCTGATTGGTTGTTTTCCTATATATATCTACGAATCGTATCCGCCTACACCAAGTATGCTGTGACTGATTGCTGAATACCTCAAGGTTAGACTTCGTTCTTGTTTATTTTCTCATGACCTCGATTTGGGAGGTGAGAAAACGACCAATCAGAAGACGCTATCTCTCTGATAAAAATAACGAATAATAATGTACATTAATATATATATATATCTTGGTTTTCTGAATAAACGATTTGTTTGTTACCTGTCCCTTGTTTTCTGTCGTTATGCTACAACTTCGTTAATAGTACTTTTTCTAATGATTTTTTGTAAAACATTTTAGTAACATCTTTTTCTCAACTAACGCTTTATTTACTCTTTCCACCCGTTGTATAATTCATTTCGGACACTTGTCTTCATGCTCTTCAATAGTTCTCTGACTTAAATATTAATCCCCAGTCTAACCAGCATTAAAATAAGCTCATTCAAAAGACTATATATATATATATATATAAGAATTTATACATATATGTACAATGAAGTACACAACGGAAACTGAGAAGAAATAAATGTAAAAACAAAAGCGGAAACACATTTTGTTTCCACAGTGTATAGTACACACACCCCCTAGTGTGAGTACTACTCTACTGATCATTATCAGTGTAAAAAGTGTATAAGGCATAATAGAAAGAATTATAATAATAGAATAAAAATTGTATATGCAGCCCAGACAAAGACTGGGCTTTAAGGACGAATAACAGTAAAAGTTTGACACTGAACAAGAATAGGTAAATCCTCCCCACTTGGTGTGCTGTGTTCATTCGTGTCTATTTACTTATGTACAGATATGGGTAAATTCGATGCGCTGTTATGATGACCACTCTGATGAGATGGTCTTGTCTTATTATTATTATTATTATTATAGAACAACGATGGTGTTTCTAATGTTCTAACTGTTGTTGATGGCGATGTAGTACTCGTCATAGTCGACGTCTTTCTAAAAAACCTTTTTACAGGTGAACCAACCAGTCTAACGCATAAACTATACAGGATGAGTAAAACTCTTACTAAAGCATACTTTAGTATAGAGTAGAAATTGCCAAGAAGATAGACAATCCCTTTAAGGATAGAATATACTAGGCATTGAAAATCTTTACCAAAAAAGTATACAAATACTAAAATGAATATAGAATAAAGGAAAAAAGAATGCTGTCTAATCATATAATACAAATAGGATTGTTTGATAAACATGTACACGGAGTGCAATTGTCTCCTCGACTGCTTGTTCAAAGATGTCGAATGACAATACTGATTGCTGTAGGCCTTTTTTAATGGTTGATAGAATTCTGATGGATAGAATAGTAAAGGTTGTGGACGATATAGTAATGACCTGGGTGAGAAACACAGAGAGAGAGAAAAAAGTACAATTAGGCAAGTTCATCATTGTATTTCCGAACGCCATCCTGCAGCATGGTTAAGCAAAGCATAATACAAGATCTAGCTCTGTTTTAGTGCACCATCTTGTAGATAGATAGTGAGCATGAAGTTGACGTTAAATACAGCATTTATGCATCTATTTATCGCATTCCTACTAGTCCTTTTAGTATTTTTAATATATTTATGCGTTGGAGTTTCTGTAGCAATTTGGTTAAGTTTTTTTTGGGGGGGAGAGGGTTGCTAGCACCACGCCCAAACCCTCTTTCTTTATCCGAGCTTGGGACCGGCTAGAAAACAAGCGACGTTAAGAACCTAGAAGACCTGGATTTTGCGCGTGGGTGATTTATGTTTGATGTCACACAAAATCGAAGACTTACGGGCAGACGAAAACCGAAAAACTGGTCGAAGAAGCAGCTGGCGAAGACAGGACTCCAAGTGAACATAGACAAGATGGAGGTTATGAAAATAACCAACCAACAACAACAACAATAGCAGCAGCAACATCAAGCGCCAATCACCATCAACGGGAGGGATTTGAAAGAGGTTAGTTACTTCATCCACTTATCTAGGGAGGGAGCATTGTCTCAACAACAGGAGGAGGAACGGACGAAGATATCAAATCGAGCGAGAAACACATTTATCAACCTGAAACCAATCTGAAAATCTTCGTCACTCATCATCAACAACAAAATTCCGATCTTGAATACACACGTCAAGCCAGTTCTTCTATACGGATCAGAAACTTGGCGAGTCACAAAGAATATTTCCAACAGCCTACTGCAGACATTTATCAGCCAACGACTATCTTTGCTGGCTCTATACTGAAGACCAGATGGCCGAGCCGGAAAGAATCACCAACAAAAAACTATGGGAACAAACAAAACAAGAACCAATCGCCAACCAACAAATACGCAGGAGAAAGTGGAGATGGATTGGACACTCACTGAGGAGGCCGGGCCGCTGGGTGACATCGCGCCCGCGTCAGGTCATTGCTCGAGTGGAACCAGGCCGAAAGGGAAGCGGCGAGTGGGACTTCAGTGCAAGGGTGACGTGGAGGAGATCGTGTGAAGAGGAGTTGAAACGGTATGAACTAACATGCAGAAGACAGAAGCAAGTGGAGACTTGCAGTTGAAGCCCTATGTTCCACTAGGAACCCAAGGGAACAATAATAATAATAATTCCTACTAGTCTTAATTCTGCTTTACGATTTCGTCTTCTACATACTTCTACATCTGAAGCCATAGGAATCCCCACCTGAAGAAGAAGAAGAAGACAAACCTGTGTGTTCAGAAGAAACCATAAAAAGCGTACCGGGAGAGTTCATTGTACTGATCAAGGCACTCTACTCAGACAAATGCAGCCATTTTAGAGCTAGCGGTGAGTTGTTATCTGAAGTGATGAAAACCAATGGTGCTCATCAGAGATGGTCACTGTCTACATTTATCCTTAATTTTACTTTAGATTTACTAATGGAATAGACACCATGCGGCTTTAGTGATTTAGGGGTTGACTTGTTATCTGGGAAAAGTCTCGTCGACTTGGGGTACATGGATGACATTGTTCTCTTAAGTATAGAGACACTGACAAAATTCAGAGTTTTCTGAACATCTTAAGCAGAAATCTTCGATTGTTGTGCATGCGATTTGCCGCCGTCAAATACCAGATGATGTTACAGGACTGCAATACACCGACTCCTAGCCTTAAAAAGATAAGGACTGAAGTGGTTGAGTGTGTTAACCGCCTGCATAAGCAGCAAAGGGTCTGTTCGTGACAAAATCTTAACACGGATATACAAAAGGCAAATTTAGCATTTACCAACTCATGTCATCATCTCTGACACAGACGTGATATTCAGCTATCGATCAAAGGATGTGTGTATTGTATGCAGCACTTCTCTGTCCTCTATAGCTGCAAGAAATGACCTTTGAAACTGGTCTCTGACCTCAATTGATCAAGCTGTGAAGCTGAATCGACTTTAAATGGCTACTTCTTCCATCAACGAATAATGTTACCCAGTATAGAAGTGGGTTATTATTATTGTTTTCTTTATTTCCTAGAGGAACATAGAGCTTCAGCCACACGACTCCATCGCTTTCGGTTCTTTACCAGCGTTTTCACTTGACTTCATGTCTGCTCACATACTTTCATCTCCTCCTCCATGTCACATTCACAGTGACGACCGACTCGCCACATCCCATTTCGGTTTCACTCGAGCAATGGTCTGGCGTGTCATGTCAATCACTTGATGGTTTGTTTTCTCACAGTATGGCCACAATCCACCTCCATTTCTTCCTGCATATTTGTTGCATAATAGGTTCCTGATGGGTTGGTTCGTTGGTTCATTGCCAGAGATTCCCCCTCCCTGTTGCTGAAGTTTTCTGCCTGGCCATCTGATCTTGAGTAGTATTGAGCGAAGACAGCTGTTGATGGGAAGATCTATAGTTTGTTGGAAGTTTCTTTCATGACGTGGCGCTGAGTCTCTCATCCGTATAGTAAGTAGCACTGACTTCACACTAGAGTTGAAAATCCGGATATAATTTTTTATGCTGAGTGCTGTTTATCTTCACACACAGACTTGAGAGTAATAAAAGCCTGTCTTGCTCTCCCGATCCTGGCTTTGATAACTTCATCAGTTCCGTCCGCCTGTAGTTCAAACGATGCCTCCCAGGTAGGTATGTAGGTAGCTGAAGGAGGTTGTTTCTTTCAGGTTCCTCCCATTTATGCTTGTTGTCGCTGCTGTTGGTGTTGGCCAGGAATCTTTATCTCACATGTGTTTTCTCTATGTTTACCTCTGAAGGCCTATCTTTGATGCTTCTTCTATCGCCAACTTGTTGCTTTCCACTTGCATATCTTCCAGTTTGTCGGAAAGCAGACATATATCACATCAGCGAAGTCAAAATCCTCCAAGTGTTTTTTGTGTGGGTCCATTTTATGCCCTGTCTCCTCGCGTTACCAACTGTTCTCCATTACATATCTGCCTACTATAGTTCATTTGAACCAATTTCGTTTCTCTCTCTCTCTTTTATCTACCTTTGTGACAACCTGAACAGCTGTAATTCTGTGCAATAAAGGAAACTTATTATTCAGTCGGTTGGTTACTCGGAGACACATACCATGATGATATTCAAGGAACAACTGGACCTAAGTATGAATTCCGCGAAAAAACACGAACCAATATTCAATATAACTTATAAGCTTTTCATTGGGCACTACTACATAGTAACTAGTCTAGTTCCATCTTTTTGGTGCAGACTGAATTCTATCAGTCAAGGACTTAAGACACATTCCACTAGTTAATAACTAGTGTTCAATCAAAAGTGTCCAATACAGGATGTCCACTTTCCCCATTTCTGTTTAACTTCATCATAGATATGCTGATGGAAGTGTATCCTTAACTGAACGACTAACGACTTAGGAATCGACTTGTTACCAGGGAATAGTCTTATGGACTTAGAATATGCAGATGACATAGTCCTGTTAGGGGAGGATGCTGACAAAATCCAGCAGAGTCTTCTGAACACCTTGAGCAGCAATCTTCGTATGTTCGGCATGCGATTCGCCCCTACAAAATGTAAGATGCTGCTACAGGACTGGACCACGTCAACTCCTAACTTAGTGATAGGGAGTGAAGTGATAGCACATGTTGACCACTTCACCTATTTGGGAAGTTGTATCAGCATCAACGGACTGATTGGCGACGAAATCTTAGCACGAATCCGAAAAGCTCGAGCTGCTTTCGCTGACTTACACCATCTCTGGCGTAGGCGTGACATCCAGCCATCAACCAAGGGACGTGTGTACTGCTCACCAGTTCGCTCCGTCCTTCTCTATGGCTCTGAAACATGGCCAATACGAGTTGAAGACATGAAAAGGTTGACTGTTTTTGGTTATAGATGTCTACGATCTCTTTCTCACGTTGGGTGGTTTATTAAGGTAAGTAATGTTGACGTTAGGCGTAGTGTTGGACGAAGAGGGAAAATCAATCGACGAGGCTATAAAGTTACATAGACTGAGATGGCTAGGTCAGGTGCTGCGCATGCCTAACCATCGCCTCCCCCGACGGGCATTACTAGCTGATATAGGTGCAGGTTGGAAAAGAGTAAGTGGTGGCCAAACAAAAACATGGCCTCATCAATCCATGAAATCCTTGACAGTTAAACTGAGTCAGGTAGGTAGGGAGATGCAGACTTCCGGGTCGGGGCCCTCGGGACTCTAGGAATCAATGGCTGGAGACAATAGGTGGCATGGCTCAAAATCGTTGTCAATGACAGCGCATATGTATTCAGTCTCTGTAATCTTTCATATTCCTTTCTACCATTACCCATTCTGTTTCACTCTTATACTTGTCAGACTGTATTGATTCTCTTCGCTCATCTTCTTGTCTACCTCTGTGTGCTATTTGGAACGTGGCAACTCGAACCGCGGCACTTCGGTGGCAAGTTCTATGTTGAATCCAGACAGACAGACAGACAGATACAGTTCTGCAGGGGGCCAGTAATTGCCAGCCCGAATAACTCAGTGTACGGTGAGAGCTGTCTGCAAGACAAAATTGTAGACAACAAAATTTACGTCAATGTTTACATCCAAAATCGGGGTCATGAGAAAAAAGAGACAATAACAAAGCTTAACCTTGAGTAACTCACCAGCCAATCACAGCACACTTAACGTGTGCAAATACGATTCACAGATGGCCTGACTTTCTAAGAAACGGCCACAAAGAGATGATCGAATAACCTTCAGCAAGAAAACAACCAATCAGAAGACGTTGTCTCTCCGCTAACAATGACGAACAATAATGTACATACAAATTTATAAATAGCTGTTGATTTTCTCAATTAAACAATCTGTTGTCTGGTCCTTGTCTTCTGTCGTTACAAGTGTTAACGTCTCTGACTGCAGAAAGCATTGGGTGACGCCGGTTCGAATCTCCTCAGAAGGAAAATGAGTCCCTTCAAGCTGGTTGCAGATACGCCTTGCCAACTAGCACGAAAACTAGATCAGGCAAGGCATCCTACCGATTACCCCTAACTATCTAATAAAACGGTGTCGGTGGCACAGCGGTTAGGACGCTCGCCGACCATGCACATGGTCCAAAGTTCGATCCCCGGCCACTGACGCACTCCTTTACCTCGCTAAGCCAGAAGTAATGCTGGTAAAGAGGCGAGGGGTTAGGCATAAGGCTAGCAACCCCATCCTGTAAAAAAAAAACACTGCTACAGAAACTTCAAGCCACTAGCTTGAAGCCCTATGTTCCACTGGGGAAAGTGAAGGAAAAAAATCTAATAAAACGTATAAGCCTTTACTGAACACGAATCCCTATGAGTATGGAAATACCAAAACGAAGGGTACATCAAACAACTATAGTCTTGAATACGAAATCAATTCAAGAGAAAACTTTTGAAAAAAACACACATTATAAACAGCCGTAGCTGTTTACGAACGGCTTTTTACTTACTCATTCGGTAGCGTTTTATCGACAATCACAGAGGCTGTTGGCGCGATATAACACGGTTGAAGAGGACGATAAGCCTCTAGAGGTAGTGAATAGCTAGAAACCTCATCATTTAATGCGTTCCAGTCGCTTCGAATCACATTACTATATTTATTCAGGTGAGAATCTTGAACAAAATAACACAGAATCAAAAAGAAATAATAATAATAGCAGCGGTAACGTTTAAAAATGTGAAGTACACTAAAATATAAACATTACCACAACACAGACACCGAGCGAAGTTCCACTACTAGAAATAACAGCTAGAGACTCAGTCTGTGCATAACGCGAAGCATTTCCAGCAGGTTGCTGCAGACTTTTATCAACAGCTGCCTTCACTGGTTGGACACCTGAAGACCGGATAACCAGGCTGGAAAGTAGGAGCAACAAGAAGCTTTAGCAATGAATCAACCAACCAACCAACTAACCAACCAAAAAACCTGTTGCCCATCAAATGTGAGAAAGAAGTGGAGACCGAGTAGGCATACACACTGAGGAAACGGACAAGTGACATCATCGCCAGTCAAGCCATTGAGTGGAATCTGAGAGGGAAAAAACGAGTTCGACATCACTGCAAGTGTGAGATAGAGGAAATCATATGAGGAGGAAACGAAGTCTTATGGTCACTTGTAGATTCAGCTGGATAAGACTGAAAAGAACAGAGTAACCTGGAGAGATGGGTTGTGCTGAAGCTGTTTGTTCCACTCGGAACCAAAGGGAATAATAATAATAAGGATAATACAGTTGTGATGACAGCTGGCTGCTAGCCAAATTGGTAGACAGTAATTTACATCCCCAATATTGGTCGTCAGAAAAATAAGAACAAAGATCTATTCAACAACCAATCACAGCAGGGTTTGCGCAGTCAGACACAATTTGTAGAAAGATAATCTGAACTTCAGTAAACGGCCATAAAAAGATGAAAGATTAACGTTCAACGAGAAACCATCAATTAGAAGACTGTGTTTGTTTGCTTACAATAATCTATAATAATATACATGAAAATCTATAAATATGTGTTGATTTCCCAATATAAACGATCTGTTGCCTGACCCTTGTCTTCTGTTGTTACACATTTATTTCATATGACCAATAAAATACACGTTTAGGAAACGGAAAAAAACTATTTTTTAAGTCAGCAGCATGCACCAATAAAAATCGAATGACATAAACATCGATCTAAGTTAGCATCGAATGTCCATTGAATCCCGTCCATTTAGACAGAGGAAAGCAAATCATCATTGTTTTCTATGTTCTTTTGTCAGGAGACATCGGGCATGAATTTTTAAGCCGAAATACTGATTACAGCAATCGAAGTTTGTTGTTGACTAAAGTGTAGGAATTCTGTGTCAGAAACTGGAGTAATATTCATGAGTTTGGCTGATGAAATTCTCGAATTGAATATACGCATGAAGTCTGTTGCTGTTAAGATTAACAGCACAGAATTTTAGTCCAAGAGATTGAGTTTCTAGTTGTACTATCGATAACGGAACTGAAGAGTGAGTGATTGAAGACAAAGTTAATTAGGATAGCTGGGGAATTTATTCTGGACTTCCACGGGTTTCAGGCTTTTGTTCAAATCTGATTTAATTGACATTTTCCGCACTTCTGTTCTGCACCAGTGTAACGTATTCATTGAACTCCAGTTTCCGACGCAGAATTCTACATTTTAAGTAAACAACAATCTTCGATTGGTGTAATCAGTATCTCAGCTTAAAACCTCAAGCCTTACGTCTCCTGACAAAAGAATATAGACATCTCAAAGAACTGAGAGACAATAAGCGTCTGATTGACATCAGTCAAAGAACCATTGAAAACCAAGAGATCAGTGGATAGCTGTTGCTTCCAAGCTCAAGACTCTTCAGTAGCGAATACTCATCACCCAACTGGGGATCGAACCAAAGATTTACAGCTTACGAGGTGAACCCATTTGTAACAGCAGAAGATAAGGGCCAGGCAACAGATCGTTTATTTAGGAAATCAACACATATTTATAGATTTTCATGTACATTATAATAGATTATTGTTAGCAGAAAAACACAGTCCTCTGATTGGTGGTCGCTTCTCACAGAAAGTTAATCTTGCATCTTTTTGTGGCTGTTTCTTGAATGTCATATCATCTATATGTTAACTGTATCCACCTACGCAAAGCCTTTGTTCTCATTTTTCTCACGACCAATACTGGGGACATAAACATTGACGTAAATTACTGTTCACCAATTTTGGTTAGCAGCCAGCTCTCACCACACACTAACAACCGTCCCAACCACAAGGGTCTGATACTTGACGCATCACAAAAAGCATTGCCAATAGCCAGTTGGAGACTTTTATCAACATCTGTCTTCCTCCTATACTGAAGATCAGATAGACAGTTGGAAAGAATTAGTGACAAGAAACTCTGCTTGGGAACAAACCAACAGGTGAGAGCCGATTGCTCAACAAATATGTGGAGAAAGTGGAGATGGATTGATCACGCATACGTTGAGGAGGCCATCAAGCAACATCACGCACAATGCAGGTCATCACTCGAGCGGGGAATCTCAATGGGAAACAACAAGTGGTTCGTCGGTGCGAGGGTAACATGGAGGAGATTGTGTGTGGCGAGTCGGAGGAGACGAGAGGTTATGGGCGATTGCGGACCCAGCTGAAGGGGTCAGCACCAAAGAAGACAAAATGGAGATGTGTTGTTGAAGCCCCATGTCCCAATCGGAACCCAAGGGAATAATGATAATAATAATACCTGAAAAGATATTTTTGAATGCCATGGAGACAATACAAAAAATGAACAAACTTATAAAAAGTTGACTTGAACAAACCTTTTATCCGATACGGTGTTGTCAGCATAGGATCAAACCATTCACTTGTACTTGGTGTAAACATCTGTTCAATTAGTGTTCGTGGAATTCGTCCCTGAGAACTAGTAGAGAATTGCAGTAGTGCATCTAACAACCAAAAGCAATCTATATGAAATAAAAGTTAGGGAAAACTTAGAGCTAAGAGTGAAAAATCACATTGCAGGTAGAAAATAAATAAAATGAAATGCTGCGGAGGGAGGGGCATTTCTGTTATCTGCTGAAACATCTACTGTTTGATAAAGTGAAACACCACCTATCTGATCAATCCTTGCATCTTTTAATGCTCAAGAAGATCGAGGGGTGGGGGTAGGAGGATGATGATAAAGAACATTGATTTGAATCCTGATATGACTGCAGTATCCATTTCGATTTCAATTACCACATCAAGTACAACTTTATTATTCTAGTTTTGGGAATCATCGGCAGTATGCACCCATACCACAGTGAGGTTTGAACTCAGGACGTTCCGGTCACACATAAGACAAACGCGTATACCAATCAGCTACTGCGACCAGATTCAATGGACAGCCCATAAATTCTAACTTCTACCAATTCATGATTTAGTGCGACTGGCATCAACCAATGTCACCGGTGGAAAATCCATCCTCACACTTGACTGGATGTGTACCTTACCGGTCAAGACATCTAATCAGAACTCCAGGAAACTCCGTCCTGTAGCAAGTCACTAGAGAGCATTAGATTGATTTGTGACACAATTTCAAATCTCACAGGGAAGTGAATTCTTTGACGGTTGCAGACACCCCTTGCTAACGAGTGCCAACAAGCACGACACCTAGGTCAGACAAGGCTTCCTGCCGATTGCCTCCAACCGTCTAATTAGAACATTCATTGATATTGCAGTTTAACGCTTCCTAAATGGTAGGACATCTCATCGCTAAAAAATCAATCAATTTTGTATACTACTAAGAACCATAATTAAGTAGTATAAAATCTGACGTTTAAAATGGACAGTCACGTGCATAGTTCCCGCTAGATAATGAATACACTGAAGACTTTGTTTAGAAAAAAACAATGAAGGGTCTGTGATTATACCGTCTAGGTCAGCTCTGCGATTACACATACAGCTCACCAACTATTGCAGAAATCTGCATGTTGTTTTAGAATTGTATTTGTATTTATCCTGAACTTACAGATTTATAAATTTTAATTACTAATCATCCTAGAGAACCACTGGAAACCAGACAGATTTGGGTAAATGTTACCTAACTAGTTTGGTGCACTTCAGCAGTGCACACCCAGACCCCAACAGGGATTGAATCCACGACCTTCAAGTTACGAGAAAATCGCGTTGATTACTCAACAACTAAGACAAAATCTGATGGTATATGAATTACCACCTCCTCTATCGATTCACAACAGATAACATCAAGACCCTCGAGTATTTGTTTTCACAAGCGATTGTATTTAATATCAGTGGTTAAAAGATTAACGAGCTTACCTCGTAACTTGAAGGTCCTATAGGATTGATCCCAGTGGGGCAATGGGTCATCACCTTCCTCAACGGGCTATGCTTAGAAATAGGGAGTAAGGTGGTAGAGCACGTTGACCGCTTCCCTTATTAAGGAAGTATCATCAGTTCCAACGGGTTGATCTCTGACGGAATCTTAGCACGGATACAAAGAGCTAGTTTCGCATATGCCAGTTTACGCCGTCTCTGGCGTAGACGAGATATTCGACTATCGACCAAAGGGGGGTGTACTGCTCATCAGTCCGCTCCGTCCTCCTTTATGGCTGACTGTGAGACCTGGCCATTTACAGTGGAAGACAAGAGAAGATTAGCTGTCTTTGATCATAGGTGCCTGCGTTCTATCTCCTGTGTGAAATGGTATAATAAGGTGAGCAACATTGAGGTTAAGCGTCGAGTGCTAGGTAGGGAGAGGAAATCAATAGACGAGGCATGTGTTACGTATGCCTAGTCATCGCCTTCCTCGACATAGGCAATGTTAGCTGACATAGGGTCACACTGGAAAAGAGCTAGTGGCGGTCAAACCAAAACATCGCGCGGCACCAGTCAATGAAATCCACAACAGTTAGTTGAAGTCAGCCATGTAGGAAGATGTAGATTTCCTGACTGGTTGGGGTCCTCGGACGGTAAAAACCAATGGTTGGAAATAATGGTGACATGGCTCAAACTCATCGTTCTCAATGGCTGGCTGGCCCAGATGCATCCACTCCTTGTGACTCATGATTTCCAGTGAAACTATATTGTTCTTCCTTATTACTATTCCTTTGTCTCACACCTCTGTTTACTGTCTCTAATATGCATTTTTTCTACTTTCTTCTCTTTCTTTGTGTGCTACAAGGAGGGAGTGTGGCAACTTGAACTGCCGCACAATGGTGCAAAGTTCTATGTCGAAAACAGACAGGGGGATGGGTACGTATTGTTTAACAGTCTCAAAACTAGATCGAAACAGCTGTCTAGTACTCGCTGGTTTTCAATGGTTCTCTAACTGAATACATTCAAAATGAACTTGGCTTTTAAACAACGGACTACGAAATTCATAACCGATCAAGAATCATATTGACACCTACTTGAACTCAAATGAGTTGAACTTAAACAATCTGAATCCCCGTAAACAGCTAAACGTCCTGCTGCATTGCTTTTATCTGCTATTGGTGTCCATAAACCTAAAATACTTGGCGTTGGATCTTCATTAATAATTGGTTTTAAACGTAGAACAGGTTCAGAATTTATAAGAATTTTATCATTTTCTAACGATGATGATGACTGTCCAAGATTTTCAGAGATATCTTGCCGCCGCTGACGATCATGTTGAATAAATTGACTGCCTATATCAACAAGATGAGTTTTTAACAGTGCAGCTCGACCGGTAATATTTGAAATGTTCTGTACAGGAAAGCGTTTAATACTTGTCCCCGAGTGATATGAGACTAGAAATTAATGTTAAAAAAAGACAAAAAGAAATTCGATTAAGCACTTAAAAGATTGGTAGTTGAGAACATTGGTGAAACTATAAAAACGACATGTTTAAATGGTTATTAATCCCAAGAGAAGTTAATTATTGCATCTTGAATACCACTCATAACCGATCTGGTATGGGGCAAAAGGTGGGTGGACTCCAGTCATCTTCTAGTAATGCTCTCATGGCCCGTTTTTGCAGAAGCGAAAGGTCGAATCTGAACGTGTGGCAATTACAATTGAACTCTTAGATGATCAGGTCTACCTGACTGTGCTGGAAAGCCTTGATTCCAAACCTATGCAGTACATTCATGCGCTCCAGAATCTAAACCGACAGAATAGCGTGTAAATCTGTTTCATACATCGACAACTACTATGGGAACTTGACTTCTAACGCTATTCTACTGTTTTGTGAACCAGACTTCAAGTCAAAAGTTCGAGGGAGGTGGCACCTGAAGACAATCACCTGTTTTAGTCTGGGCATCCCGGCAGTATTCCAGCTTTCGAATAAACTATGAGATTTTGAGTGGTGCATTTTTTGATGTCACAGAAACTAGAAGACTTACAGGTGAAAACTAACAAACCTGGCTGCAAAGGCTGGTAGCGAAGACAGGACTCCAGGTGAACATAGAGAGGACGCAGGTGATAAAGATAACCAACAAACCAACCATAGCGACAACAACCAGCACCAATCACCATCAACTTCACTTGTCTAGGAGGCATCGTCTCGACTACGGGCGAAACAAATGAGGATGTCAAAGTCAGAATCGGAAAGTCAAGACACGCCTTCATCAACCTGAAACCAGTTCACGAATCTTCTGCACTCATCCAGCTAGCATAAAGAGCAAGATTCGGGTTTTCAAACATCAATGTCAAATCGGTCCTTCTCTGAGGGTCAGAAAGTTGACACACACATATCATAAGAAGGATTTCCAACTGCTTGTTACAGACACCATTGAGGAGGCCGTCAAATGACATTGCGTACAATACACGCCAGCTATCGAGTAGAATATCCCAATGGAAAGCAACGAGTGGGTCATCGGTGCGAGGGTGACATGTGGAGGATATTGTGTGAGGAAGAGATGCAAGAGTTTGGGTAATCATGGAGCTAGCCAGAAGAGGACGATAGCAGGAAAGAGAAGAAAGTGGAAGTGTGTTGTTGAAGCCAGCCCTATGTCCCACTAGGATCTCAAATGAATAATAATAGTTATAATAAATAATAATCTTTTGATGTCTAAAATGTACCAATTTTGAGGCTTTAGTAATAATTACTGAATTTTGAATAGCGTAAAAGCTGATCAGAAAAAGTGACACGAACTGTACTCCTGATATTTAGACTTAATTTTCTAAATGTCCTTTTCACATGTTTGTTTGTATTTCTTTCGCCCCCCACCCCCTCTCCACCTACTTATTACTCTATAGACCCAATCTTCTCTCGCCTTGTTTAAGACCTTGAAATTCTATTGGTCGTTGACCATTTCAACTAATCAATGTCATTAGTGTCTCTCATGGGCATTTTAAAGCATATAAATATGCAAGCGCTGTCAATCATGCGAGACAGTAAAAGCTGACCACACCAACAATCTGTCTTATCTTCTTGTGTCACATTTCCAGTGGTACCGTATCGTATTGTCGTTGTTGTTGTTGTTGCGAATATTGATTAGAACAATAGGCTCGTGAGTCAATTAGATAGGAAATTCCTTATTGCAACAATTTATTTATTTATTTAAACGCATAAAAAACTTGGTACAATATGGAACCAAGGAGGATGCGCCACACAATAGTAATAAAACAACATAGATCAAAAGTAAAAAAATATATATAAGTAGAGAACGGATAAAGAACTTCATCTGGAAGGAAAACAGTCATGCTTAACAAGTTCAAACAGTATTCGTTAACTATCATCGGGAAGGGAAGAAAGAAGGAAACTGCAATACGTGTAATAGCACGTGATAAGTTTCATTGATTGTTTGTTGCTTCATTCAGTTCATTGTATGAGGGCTGAGATACTGCCCGGGTGCCCAGACCGAAGCAGGTGGTTTTATTAAGGGACCACCCTCCCCCGAGCCTTTGACTTGGTTGGAGTCTAATCCGCAAAGCAGCGGAGGAGCGTCAGGAGCTGCATTCCCATGGTTTCCGGTGACCCATATGGGTTCATACGCCATTTGATCCGATTGGATACTGGAGCCCATGTACCCCATGGTAACTGCTTTTAGTTTAACCACTATCCAAACTACCTTCCTGACATGGTAGGATCTGCAGGGACATGAGTCCCAACCAGTTTAGCTTGTTGGGTCACTGCGGTATTCAAGCCCGAACACCACGGCAAGGTAGCAGTTGTCGGTCGGGTTAGTGCAACTACTAAGTGTATTAACAGTCATATCAATCCGTTTGAGAATTATATGATACATTGCAATTGAAAATGGTTTCATCAACGAATCAACCACTGATGTAGATTCTAAATTGAATCATTCAAAATCCTTCACACTATGTCAAAGATGTGTTCCTCTTTTTTATCACCTTCGATATTCTGAACAACATTTTTCCTCATTTTTACTACATTTTGTAAAGCACAGTCAATATTGAATACATAATAATAATAATAATAATGTGAGGGCTAAACTTACCAGTTCGATGTCCAATAGCATAATTTCCAGCAAAAACAGAATCTCTGTAGAAAAAACAAAAAACAGAAATAACTTAAAACGATTAAAACAAATTATAAAACATGAAAAATTTTGAAAGCAAGGCGAGATCACCTATTCTTGTTTGTTTGAACTCACCCAAGGGATAACAGTCAGCTAAAATACTAATCAATTCCATATTAGTTTGTTTATTACATGTATCAAACGGTGAAACAGTAGTATTTACTGGATGACACAGTTTCGAATACAATTCACTATTGTTCATAATCATATCATCATCATTTATAATCACACGACTTTGAGTTTTATAGTTTTCTTCGTCCTCTCCTATTTACCGTTGTAGGGGTAGTAGAATTTTCCAGATGTCTGGGACAGGTGTTGAATCATTCCCGTTACACGTGTTGGTTTGCAGTTGATCAACTAATCAATATACACATCGAGACAGATAAAATTTACCAATCGATTTCAAGGAAATCTCACTTAAAAAGGGTTAGAGTTCAAGTTAAGGAAACAATCGGTTCCAATATAAGTAGCCTGGAGGGTGTGAAAATACAAAAAAAAGAACAATCACATTAAAGATCATCAGAAGGGGTGACTAATAACCTCGTGGAGAAATCTGTCTGTCTGTTTTCGACATGGAACTTTGCACGGAAGTGCGACAGTTCAATTCGCCACACTCCACTGCATGTAGCACACAAAGAAAGAGAAGAAAGTAGAAAAAAATGCATATTAGAGACAGTAAACAGAGGTGTGAGACAGAGGAATAGTAATAACGAAGAATGATATACTTTCGTTGGAAATCATAAGTCACAAGGAGTGAATGCGTCTGTGCACTAGCCATTGAGAACGATTTTTAGCCATATCACCAATTGTTTCCAGCTATCATTGGTTTTTTACCATCCCGAGGACCCCAACCAGTCAAGAAGTCTACAACTTCCCACGTGCATTTCATCGACTGGTGTCATGTTTTGGTTTCACCGCAGCTAGCTCTCTTCCAACTGATCAGCTAACATTACCCGTTAGTCGAGGAAGGCGATAACTAGGCATACGTAACACATGTCCTAACCATCTCAGTCGATGCAGCTGCTTCATAACCTCGTCGATTGATTTCCCTTCCCACCTACCTACCACTCGACCGATGCCTCACCTCAATATTGCTCACCTTATTACACCATCACCTGACACGGGAGATAATACGCAGGCACCTATAATCAAAGACAGCTAGCTAGGGTTTTCATGTCTTCCACTCTCAGTGGCCAGCTCTGAAAGCCATAAAGGAGGACGGAGCGGACTGATGAGCAGTACACCCGCCCTTTGGGAAATAGTCGAATATCTCGTCTACGCCAGAGCGGCGTAAACTGGAAAATGCGAAACGAGCCCCCTGTATCCGTGCTGAGATTTCGTCAGAGATCAACCCATTGGGGCTGATGGTACTTCCCAAATAAGTGAAGCGGTCAACGTGCTCTACCACTTCACTCCCTATTTCTAAACTAGGAGTCAGTGTAGTCTAGTCCTGTAACGTCATCTTACATTTGGCGGGAGCGAATCGCATACCAAACATTCGTAGATTGCAGATCAAGGTGTTCAGAAGACTCTGCTGGATTTTGTCAGCGTCCTCGCCTAGAAGGACTATATCGTCTGCATATTCTAAGTCAACAAGAATATCCCCTGGTAGCAAGTCAATCCCTGAGTCGCTGAAGTCACTTAGGGTTAAGTCCATTAGTACATCTATGATGAAGTTGAATAGAAAAGGGGATAATGGGCATCCTTGACGGACACCACTAGTCGTCACCAGTTCAGATGACAACTCGCCTTAAGCCCTCATCTGGCTGACAGCATGAGTTCGAGTAGAGTGCCTTAATCAGTGCAATGCATTTTCTCGGCATTCCCTTTACAGACAAGCATCACCAGAGTGCTTCTCAGTCTCGTGGAGAAATCTAAAAGCTCACTTCAACATCAAATTGAAGTATGCGCTGAAGGAAGATGTTGCCTAGTAGGGCAATGATGAAAGCTTCGGAAATAAACTATCCAGCTAGCTCAGAGAACACAATTACATCAAAATATACACATATTTTTTTACATGATATTGAACAAACAAGTCACTCACCCCAACTCGATCCCAAACGGTTCAAGCAAGTCATTCAGGCCAGGCAAGTTAGACCCTCCAGTATCTGGACTCCATATACGTCTATAACACAGAAATACAAAAAAAACAAAACAATAAACATTCATATAAACAAAATCTACTCACTCTGAGAGAAGCTCAACGCTATTATAGATTAACTGGCTAATCTTAGACTGAAAAACATGTCACCAATTATCTTAGGAAACGCTTAGAATATTTACACAACTATCGATAACCGATACAACAGAAAAGATCAATATTCTAGTAGTGTATCAGTACTAATACTCTGGTAAGAGCTGTCTGCTAGCCAAATTGATGGACAGCTATTTTCTATAGTTTGGTTTGTAAGGCTTAGTCTTGTTTTAACGAGTTGGTCACGGATTGATATCAGTTAGAGAACCATTGAAAACCAGCCACAGGGAGAACTGGACAGCTGCTGTTTCATCCTAGTTTGGGAAATAATCGGTAGTACACACCCACACCACAGTGGGGTTCGAACCCAGGACCTTCCAACCAGTACTACCTAGTTGGTTTCCAATGGTTCTCTAACTGATATCAATCCGTGATCAACTCGTAAAGACAGCTATTTATATCAATGTTTACGTCTCAAATCTTGGTCATGCGAAAAAAAAAACAAGAACAAAAACTAACTCAACAAATAATCACAGAAGACTTTGCGTGGGCGGTAACCATTCACAGATATATGATTTGACCTTCAAAGAAATGGCCACAAAGAGGCGAGAAAACAACCAATCAGAAGACGCTATTTCTCTGCTAACAATAACGAATAATAATGTACATAAAGATGTGAAATTTATCTTTTGATTTTTTCAATAAACGATCTGTTGCCTGGTCGTTGTTTTCTGTTGTTACAATACTAATTAACCATTTGAAACAAATAAATCAGAAAGAAATCTGAAAGGTTTTCTGTGTGCGTATGTGAATAACGCCATCAATGTGCTATATCTAAGACTGTCAGCGTTATAAGTGGAAACAATGCTCTATAAGGAGCATAAAACAATTGCAATCAGAGAATCATAATGATTTCAAATAAAACTAAGTGATATAGAAGGACCAATAGTGTAAACGCTGAGAAACTGGATCATGAGGAAGGGATAAACTATTATCAACTGACGTCAGCTCGTGATGTGACCTAAGACCAATCAAATTATTGCAAACCAACACCTGAAAATTAAAAACCAAATGATCAGGTTTCCTTGGAGTTCTAGTGAGACGTTGTGACCAGTTGGCGTACACCAAGTCGAAAGTGAGCAAAAACACTCAATGGTGATGTTGATGGGCGATGAATCTTTCTATTGACAATTGCCAGAGGTTATTATTTTATCAGAGATTGGATCCATTCACAGTGCTTGGATGTTAAATGTGTTCGCTTCGTGACCTGAAAACTCAGGCATACTGGTACAAAACAGCTGTCCAATACACCTTAGTTTCCACTGGTACCCCCCACCTGATTTTAGTTCATCAAAATCCTGCAAAGCAACAGCTGGAAAGACTATCATTGTAATTGATACATAAACCTCTGAATGATTGTCACTGAACAATGCAGTATCACAATAAACATATCTGAAAACATCCCCCGATAAAAATAGTTTAAGAACTAAACATTCTGTTACTTATGACGCTTAAAAGAGGCGATACTCGTCGGGTTATTAGCAAAAACTACAGATGGTTTTAAAGATCATTTGCTAAACATCTGTCACACGCAAACACGCACACATATCCACACACACACAACAGCCGTACAACCAAATAACTTCTTGACCCATCATTTCATAACTGAAAACCACCTACTGAAGGTCACAAACAGTAGCTGCGAATACTTATCATACTGCTGTTGTCTGACTTCCGAAATAAGAGGCGTTGGTCTTGTTGTTGTCAGAAACCTCAGAAGCACCAATAAGTGAAGTTTACCTGCCGCCTATAGACTAATATTTAATTCTTTCTTTTTTTGAATTGTTTTGCATTTCCAGTGAAACAGTAAGACTTCAAGTTGGAGCTTTGAACTGCCATTCAGAGTGGGTGTTGTTAATTTCACACGATGGAGTTGCTAGCCTCACGCCTAACCTTGTATCTTTGTCCAGCTTACTGGCAGCTAGGTGAGAGGTATATCGGCTGGGAAATCGAACCCCGGATCACATAAATACTCGCTAACTACACACGGAAGATCAGTTAATTTAGTGATACCATCGTATACCAAGTCGACACATTTCTCGCTAACCGCTGAGTACACAGATACATATATAGACAATATTGGACAGCTATTTCGTACTAGTTTGGGTTATTGAATACCAACTCAGTAGTTGAATATTTAACGAGTACGCGATGTATCCTAAATGTTCAATTCTCTGTGGAGTTATGATTGTGTGCTAATGAATATTCGCTAACTAGGACGAAACAGACGCCCAATACTCTCTGGTTTCACTCACTTATCTAGGGAGCATTGTCTCAACCACAGGCAGTTGGAACGGACGAGGATGTCAAATCAAGCGAGAATCGGGAAGGTAGAGAAGAACACATTCATCAATCTGAAACAACCAATCTGGAAATCTTCGTCACTCAGCCAGAATCAACAACAAAATTCGGTCGGATTTTCAATACAAACAACGTCAAGTCAGTCAGTTCTTCTATACGGATCAGAAACTTGGCGGGTGGGTCACAAACAATACTTCCAACAGCCTGTTGCAGACCTGTATCAACAACTGTCTTCGCTCTGTACTGAAGATCAGATGGCCGGAAAGAATCACCAAGAAGAAACTACGGGAACAAACAAAACAAGAAGCAGTCGCTCACTCAACAAATATGCGGGAGAAAGTGGAGATGGATTGGACACTCAATGAGGAGGCCGCCGCTGGGTGACATCGCGCGTGCGTCAGACTATAGCTCGAGTGAACCAGGCAGAAAGGGAAACGGCGAGTGGGTCGTGAGTGCAAGGGTGGCATGGAGGAGATCGTGTGAAGAGGACTAACATGCAGACGACAGAAGTAAGTCGAGACATGCAGTTGAAGCCCTATCTTCCACTAGGAACCCAAGGGAACAATAATAATAATAAATAGAGGCGTAAATTAACAAACAGTCACGACAGTGGTTGTCAGAAGATACAATTACATTATTCATGATGAATTCAAATAACTTGTTTGTTTTATACTAAGACTTGCGCTGAAGGAGGTTGTTGTCTAGATTGGGGGGACGACGAAACCCTCACATTTAAATCAACCAACTCAGACAGACAACACAACTAATTGGAAATCATCCACTTGAGCTATAAACCTTCTCCATGATGTTAGTTAGTTCGTGATTTAATCCTAAATCTCTACAGAACGCAAATCTGAATTATCAGTTATTGTTAAGAAAATGAGAGATACCGGCGTCAGTCACATTCTGCTACTCTAAGCTTACCTTGTGTTTGTATCAAAAAATCGTAGACTATGCATTACACTGGTATTATACCAATCTGCAAAGACAATTAACGACAAGCTGTACTGAGTAACATCAATGAACAATTTTTTCACTTCATGGGGATAGAATTCTTCTTCTGGATCAATTAAAAGTAATGTACCTGTGTGAGAGAAAGAAGTTCAAAAGAAGTACAAGTGTTACAAGTTTAGTAGTGAGTCGGTAGGTGGTAATTCATTTATAGAACATTCGCCGATCACTCTACGAGAAATCCGGGGTTCAATCCACGATCGGTGTACTTTCAGAAAGGGTGAGTATACTGCTCAGCAGTTCACTCTGTCCTTCTTTATCACTGTGAGTGAGACACTAAAAGTGGAAGATATGAAAAGGCTGACTAGCTGTCTTTGATTGTAGCTGTCTCCGTTTTATTTCTCGTGTTAGGTGGTATAACAGGATGACTAACATTCAGGTTGGGAATCGAGTGGTAAGTTAGCATGGAAAATCAATCAACGAGGTTGTGAAGTAACATCGAATGGCATGGTTAGACATGTATTACGCATGCCTAGCCATCGCCTTTCTCAACGATGAGCGGTGGTTAGCTGGCATAAGGATCCAGTTGGAAAAGAGCCAGTGTTCGTCAAACTAAAACGTGGTTTCATCAGTCAATGAAATCCACACCAGTTAGTTTAAGGCAGTCAAGTCGGAAGGTGGGGACTTATTGGCTGGCTGAGGTCCTCAGAATCGTAAAAACCAATGAAAGTTCAAAAGCAACTGGTGATAGGCTTGAAATCGTCATCAATAGCTGGTACAAATGCATTCATTCCTTGTGATTTAGAAAACTCAATAAAACTCTGATTGGACACCAGTAACTAGTGTGATGTGTTCAGTTCTTTCTTTAGTGCAGACTGAATTCTCTTAGTCAGGGTTCCAATGTAGCCATCATTCTAAGTAGCTCGCTATCAGGGTGCATATCGATTTGATGACATTAGATGCCTCCAACCATCTAACCAATACAATCTCTGACTGGAATAATCACTGGGTGACGCGGGTTCGAATCTCAGAAAGGATATGAGTCTCTTTTAAGGTGGTTGCAGATACGCCTTGCTAACTGGTGAGTACAAACTGGCACGAAGCCTAGATCAAGCAGGGCTTGCTGCCTATTGCCTCCAACCATCTAAGATCATCAGACCACTAAAACTCTCGACAAAACAATAAGAAGACGTAGTTTATCTGAAACGTATAATGTATTGGCGCAACACATTTCGGACATTCTGATCACACACGTACTTGTCATACACAGTTTTTATATAAGGCAAGAAAGCATGAATAATTACAATACAGGTCAGATTGTGTACAGGTCAAGGTCACAAAATAATGGGTAGGGAGACGCAAAAGGTGTGGGTAAGAAAGATAAAGGGAGGAAAAAAAGGCAAAGAAAGGGTTTGAAAATATTATGAAGTAAAATTGGTCCTTGGTTCTAAGTTGGATTACCAAGGCAGGTTTAAGGTGATAACAAATAACTTTTGGACGCATAAGACAGGTTTAAGTCTTTTAATGGCTAAGGCTTCAATGAATTTAAGTATGTGACCCAACCTTGTCTTATATATCGGCTTAAAGGCATTATTAAAATCAACCTTATGACCCGTCTCTATAATATGCTTCGCTATAGATGATGTTGGACATCTATTTCCCGGGTCAATTGTATCTGGCGATTTCATTTGTTGTTGCAGCCACTTTGGAATGTGTTCTGTAGCCCTAACATGCAGAGACCGATGGGTCCTCCCTATGTACGTGTCTCCACACATACATGTAAATTGATAAACACAGTGGGATGTGACACTATCGTTCGGATAATGTGAGGGTTTACAGGACAGCATAGTTTTCGTTTTCTCTATGAAGATAAGTTTAGCTGCATAATAGGTTCTACTAATTGCGGCCTTTAGTCTTTGTCTAGTGACTAGACTTTGTTGATCACCTCTGAACGGCAAGGATATGTAAACATCCTTTTTGGGAACTGATTGGATTGGTAAAGCTGTGTGGTTGACACTTCCATAACGTCTAATAAATCTCAGTGGGTAATTGTTATCTAACAATATTTCAGTGAGATGTTGTCTTTCTTCTTCAATTGTATCGGCGGTACATATACGGTGAACGCGCTTGAACAAACACTTAACCAACGCCTTTTTATACTGTAGTGGACAGAAACTATAGTAATTTAGATACTGTCCAGTCCATGTTGACTTCCTGTAGACAGATCGTTTTATTGACCCATCTTCTCTGCGGGTTATGAGTACATCTAAAAATGGCAGGCATCCATTATTCTCTTTAACATAAGTTAGCGATATACTATTTTGTGCTCTGTTGACCTGGTTTAGGATTTCTATGGCGTCGATCGGTTGATCACAAATGACAATTATGTCATCTACATATCTTTTATAGAAATACACTTTTCCAATTTCTTTCTCCACTAGGTTCTCAACATGCGACATATATATGTCAGCTAACAATGGACCTAGGGGGCTTCCCATAGCAACACCATCGATCTGGCGATAATGCTCGCCCTCGAATGTAAACTTAACATTTTTAGTACAGAGAAGCAGTAACTCTTTTAAGTAAGATGTAGATACTGGTAATAAGAAATCGTTGTCAGAAATGAAGTCACATAAAATGTCAACTAAAACTCTATTATTCTTCTACATTACTATTCTTTTCCCTTCACGCTTCTGTTTATTATCTCTCTTCTCTTGCTTTGTGGGCTACATAGAGTTTGGCAACTTAAACTGCTGCACATCTGTGCAAAGTTCTATGTGGAAATTAGTCAGATAGACAGGCAGGCAGATAACATAATCTCGTGTCAGATACAAGTTACCGGATAACTTAAATATTCAGAGCAGACATTTATTTCATCAAATCAGTTATGTGAAGTTAGGAGGATACTCGTCTGTGGATTTATCAGAAAAACATGCGTAATGTAGTACATTTTGAGATAATGATTAATGTGTCACGCTCTGAAACACCATCAAATCATTTTAGACAATCTCAGAAGAAAAACATAGAATACTTGGAGGACTCAATACTAAGTATACAGCCGGAATAAGTTCTGAGCACCGCGAAATAACTGACAGAAAGGATGAATGGAGGTAACTTAGAGAACAAGGTATCCAAGGTTGACACTTAGCTAAGAACAGGGAACTTTGAAGGTTACTACGAATAAACGAAATATGCCATCATTTGATCCAACCATCTTTCGCATTTCTTGTTACAAGTTTCCAATTCACTATCAGGTGAATCAGCATTTTTTATATTATAATTATAGCTATTCCATGGGTTCCAAGGGTGGAATTGCTGGGTTTCAGCATCACGCCTCCATTTCATTGAGTTCCATGGCAGAATTTTTTCAGCTGGTTCATAAACTTTCATTTCCTCCTCACACGATCCCCCCGCCCCTCACCGACTATGTCACTACCATCAGACGTCCAAACTTGTCGTTTTCCACTTGAGAGTCTCCTTAGAGTATGTTCAACACATCCACTACGTTTTTCATCTGCATATTGATTGGTTCGTTGCAAGAGGCCATCTGATCTTCAATGTTCAGGAAAGGTAACTGTTGATAAAAAGTCGGAAATGCTTTCGGTGACTTTATTCAGATATCTCTTGATATCAGATGAGGAATTTATGTCAATATGGTGATAATGCATCAGGTATGAAGGCAACAGAAAAGACTAAACAGTACACACACGCCGATTACTGATTTAATAAATAAATAAAGGAAATACAATAGAATTGTGGTAGTGGTGGTGATGCGATACAGACAATGCGTGCCGACGGGATATTATTCTCACATATTTCCACAGTTCAATACTGTATTAGCAACTGAATACAATATGTCTATTTGAACATTCTATTTCTAGTCGTTTAATGTAAACCCAAATTTAACGCTCAATGGTTGGTTAAAGAATATAAACTGTACACATTGTACATTATCTTCAAGTAAAATATTAATTGACAGTATATCTTTCCTGTGACACAATGGTCTCTAAGCTCAAGAACAAACCATTCCATTTTATATCTTCTTTGTCTCCCTGAAGAAATCCACGATATCTGGTTGAGAGCCAATTGTAAGATGTTCAGAAGTACATTTTGAAACTCAAAGACATAACTGAAGAGCACTTATCTTTCATGTATTGGGACACGTTGCCAAGTACAATCAGGCCATACATTCCTCAAGTTTAATAAGAACTTGAGAATCAGGAACTCTTAAACATCTTAAATACACACAAAAGTAGATAATAATACCATTAGAAGTCATATCCTAATCGAGTGAAACAAAACCAAACAAGAGAGAATATATGCACTGAGAGAGACACAGTGAGATGGAAGTTTTTTGGTAGCCCCAGTTTTAAGCAGGCCGCCACAACAAAATAGAAATAAACTCACCATAATTTGAAGCATCGAAACAATCGTATGAAGAAGTTAACACTTCAATGAAATAATTCCTTTTACGTAAATGTGTATACAAATCAAGATAATTTGTGTGGATATGATCACCTAACCTATAAAATAAAATAAAAAAGATTAACTTAAAACGTAATTCATTAATTGAACGAAATCGCATTGAGGATTTCATCATGAGCTGACATCAGTTAGAGAACCATTGGGAAACCTGGAAGTACTGGACAGCTGTTTCGTCAGCCTAGTTTGGGACTCTTCATCAGTACTCACCCAGTGGGGTTCGAATCCAGGACCTTCTGGTTACAAGGCTAGCGAACTCGTAGACCATTGAGCCACTGGGACCCGATACAATGGTCCTTGAATTCTAACTTCTGCCAATTCACGACATAGCGCGATCAGTTCGCGATGTCTTCTGCGATGAGTTACTGCCTCAACTTTGACCTGCTAAAACTCATCAAAGAAGACATTGTGAAATAGTCGCGCTATGTCGTGAATTGGCAGAAGTTAGAATTCAAGGACCATTGTATCGGGTCCCAGTGGCTCAATGGTCTACGAGTTCGCTAGCCTTGTAACCAGAAGGTCCTGGATTCGAACCCCACTGGGTGAGTACTGATGAAGAGTCCCAAACTAGGCTGACGAAACAGCTGTCCAGTACTTCCAGGTTTCCCAATGGTTCTCTAACTGATGTCAGCTTATGATGAAATCCTCCATGCAATCAAACAAAATACTTACAATACCAATACTAAAAATTGAACGAAATATTCCCATATGGAGTCATAAGGAAAAAGACGTGAACACTTTCGCTCTCTCATAGTTACACAGACAAACAACACAATGCGTCAAAAAGTCACACACACATATAACAAGCATCATTACAGTAGGTACAATAATACAAATGACACAATGAAGTGAAAAATAATGAATTCATATCGATATTAACTCTTTATTGTGTGTGTGTGTGTGATAAAATGAAACAGGTGTGTGTACATAATCATGAATATAACAGCCATCATTTTTCAGTGATTTCATGGGATTTTTATATTCACGAATTCTCGCCTTAATGGATTGGAACAAACAAGCAATAACAATAATATTTAGCGTTGGTTTGCAGCAGGGATTTGGTTGATTGGTTACAGGATTTCATCATGAACTGGTATCGGTTCAAGGACCATTGGAAAACCAACTGGGAGTACTGTACAGCTGTTTCTTCAGCCTGGTTTGAGAATCTTCAACAGAACGCATCCACTGAGGTTAGAAACTAGGCTTTCCAATGGTTCCTCCAAAACGGTGTCAGTTCATGATGAAATCCTGAAATAACCTATTATTATTATTATTTCCTTTAATTCCTAAAGGAACATAAGGCTTCAGACGCCCAAGTCTCCATTGCCTTCGGTTCTCTGCTGGAGTTTTCACCTGACTCCAAGTCTCCCCACATGCTTTCATCTCCCTTTCACATCATCTCCTCCAAGTCACCCTTGCACTGACGACCAATTCGCCGCTTCCCTCTCGGGTCCCACTCGAGCAATGGCTTGTCTAGTGATGTCACTAACTTGATGGTTTCCTCAGGGTATGGCCAATTATCTCTATTTCTACCTGCCTATTTGTTTCACAATCGGTTCCTGCTGGGTTGGTTCGCTTCCAAAGATCCTTCTTGTTGATCTTTTCTGGCCGGCCGTCTGATCTTGAGTAGTATTGAGCGAAGACAGCTGTTGATTGAAGTGCCCTATGTGACGCGCGAAGTTTCTGATCCGTATAGTAGCACTGACTGACTTCACATTGGAGTTGAAAATCCGGATCTTATTTTTGATGCTGAGTGCTGTTGACCTCCACACAAACTTAAGAGTAATGAAAGCTTGTCTTGCTTTTCCGATCCTTGCTTTGATATCCTCGTCAGTTTCCCCTGTAGTTAGGACGATGCTTCCCAGGTGGGTAGGTAAAGGAGGTTGTTCTTTCAGGTTCCTCCCATTTATACTGGCTGATTGTTGTCTGTTGTTGTTGCTGCTGTTGGTGTTGGCCAGGAATCTTCATCACCCCTCTTTTCTCTATGTTCACCTGAAGTAATGTCCTATATTCTCTGGATGCTTGTTCTACCAACTTGTTGCTCTACACCACTTACATATCTTCCAGTTTGTGGGAAATCAGACATATATCATCGGTGAAGTCCAGATCCTTCAAGTCTTTTGTGTGAGTCCATTTTATGCCTGTTTCCTCATTGCGCGCCGTTTGTCGAAATAACATACAGTACAGGATAAAAAACAGATCCTTTGTTCATTTCATCGGTCTGACATAGAGTTAACAGCATTTAGAGAACCACTGCAAAACCAGAGAATATTGGATAGGCGTTTGTCCTAGTTTTGCGGATTTTCAGGACACACAACACACCAACCAACCACCCCGCCTTACGAGTGGTCAAACCAATGACTTTCGAGTTACGCAACTAAGTTTGTAGAACATTCAACCATTCATATTTTAGGACTCTTCAGTAGTGCTTACACTGATAAAGAAATCTAACCAAAGAAAATTAATCGAAATCCCCACAAATTTCACAATGTGGATATTCAGAGAGTTAAATTTTCCACCGACTTTATAATATTCCATTGTGAACTGAATTTTTTTGTTGCTGTAATAAATGGAAAACATGAGATAAATATCTTCACAAACAATGAGAAGGCGTGCTATCAACATCATACCTAATGTACAGGGTTATTTACTATACAATTTCACTATTTAGGTTGTATATATATTCTGTCAAGTCTGTCTGTCTGTCTGTTTTCAACATAGAACTTTGCACAAATGTGCGGCATTTCAAGTTGCCACAATCCACTGCATGTAGCACACAAAGCAACAGAAGAAAGTAGAAGAAATGCATAACAGAGACAGCAAACAGAGGTGTGAGACAAAGGAGGAGTAATAACGAAGAATAAAACAGTTTCATTGGAAATCATAAGTCACAAGGAGTGGATGCATCTGCGCCACTGAGAACGATTTTGAGCCATGTCACCAATTGTTTCCAACCATTTGTTTTCACCATCCCGAGGACCCCAACCAGTCAGGAAATCTACACCTTCCTACGTGGTTTAGACTAACTTATGTAGATTTCATTGACTGATGAAGACATGCTTTGGTTTGACCACCACTAGCTAGCTCTTTTCCAGCCTGACCCTATATCCGCTAACATTGCTCCTCGAGGAAGGCGATGACTAGGCATGCATCCGTAACACAAGTCCCAACCATCACAGTCTCTGTAACTTCAACACTTCGTCGATTGATTTCCCTGTTTACCTAGAACTCGATGCCTAACCTCAATATTGCTCACCTTATTATGCCACTTTACACGGGAAATAGAGCGCAGGAACCTATGATCAAAGACAGCTAGTCTTTTCATGTCTTCCACTCTCAGTGGTCAGGTCTCACAGTCATAAAGGAATTTCTGACAAGAGATGAATTAACGAAGCACACAACATGGATTCATTTCAACCTGTAGTCTGTTTTGATCTAATTCCATGAAAATAAACACAAAGAGGAAAGATATTAGAGAAATAATGATGACTCACCAATCAAGTGGTTCTTTAGACCGTGTTAAATCATCTCGAGGAATAAATCCTGATGGATAGTGTATACTATGAAATTGATCGAAGAGAATACGTTTCCTACATAAAGAAATATACGTATATGTAAATGTAGAAAAGAAAGGAACATTACTATGACTAAGATAAAAAAAGAAAGGGGTTTAACAAAACGTTTTTGAATACATGTATAGCTCTTTAGAGTTTCGACGATACATTGCGTGGAGCTGATTACACACTGAACGTTGTAGGCATGTTTACCGTGAAAGTGTGTAGCTGAACACTACTACGGGAGCAGTTACATTGGAAGGACAGTAAGAAGAAGGGCATATCTACGATTTTCTGAAAATGTACCAAAAAGCCTATGTCTAAAGAGAGCAAATGCTTTAAACCGTGTCATCGCCAGGTATCTCCTTGACATCGGTTATGAAGTGGACGTCAAAAAGTCGTTCAAAATTATCAATAGGCAAAAGAGTTCAATTCTCGTCAAGTTTGCCGAAACCATTTCCATCAAGCGCCTGAAACCTGATTTACGCGTCTAGAAAGAAGCGGTTATCAGTCTTTCTTCGCCCTGCTACCTGGTAACTGGATATTTTCACCTCTCTTTCATCTGAATGCGTAGTGCTGAAAAGTTTCCAACATGTATGATTATTATAATTGTTCGTAAAAGTGTTTAATATTGCATTTTTATATATTTATATATTTTTAATGTATGCATATACTGATCGATTGATTTTTGTTTCAAATGAAGTGTCTGTGCAAGTATGTGAAAATTGTTTTTGTAGATGTATTTAATAATGTCTTTGGCCTGTAAGGAGATGACGAGAAGGTAATGAAATAAAAGATGGTATCACTTTATTCTACTAAAACTGTAGTTCTTGCTTTGTTCAAATTCATTAAGGGGAATAAATGTATGGCACACTACTCTGCTGGGTTGATGAATGACGACGAGTATAAGATGACAAAGTCTTTCATCAGTCAAATCATCCAGCCGTATACAATTTATCCTTTAAAGTTATTTCTATACGGTCAAATTCAGTCAGTTTATACGTTTTCGTTTTTTCCACTCACATAACACCGACGCTCTACCTATACATGGACGTAACACTAAACTACGTATTTAAAAAGGGAAATATTTGCCAAAACGAATGATAGAAAAACATTGAATTTTCTCATTTGGCAAGAACACATGATCTGCGAACCTGGAGGAGGAAATAATTCCGCAAAATTAATAATCTACAGCATTCTTCATTCACCAATAGGTGATTAACTTCGCTGTTTAGGTCAAATTTTTGAGGCGAAAGGTAAGCAGCTTAGCATCCACGCTATCTATACCAAGATGGCTGAATGGGTCTAGTAACCTGGAAGTCTTGGTATAACCCAGGGTGGGTAAACTTCGGTCTTCCTTTCAAAATGCCCTTCCCCTGTGTGTTCACGTGTTTATACCCTCTCCCAGGTAAGCCCTATTCAATGTCTTCAGGCGGAGGCTGGGTTGTCTCTGACATGAGCGAAAGGGTGAATTTGGCTACTAAAACCGAACTGGACACGTTGGTTTACCCACCTAGGACGGCTGAAAAATCCTGATCTCAAACCTGTCGCATACATATGCTCAAGAATCCACAAGGAATGAGTGTCATAAGAGTGTGTTTTGGCCACTGAAACACATGGCAACGCACTTCCTGAAACTGTTCAACTGACTTGTGGATTAGATGTCAAGTCAAAGGCTCGGGTATGAAAGGCTAGGCAGGATGCCAACTCTCGAACAAACCAAGAGATTCTGTGTGGCACATCTTTTGATATCCATGATGTACCACATTTTTGTCTTGATAAACAGTAATGCGATCTGTTCCATTTGCCACGACGCTGTCACGTATTCGGGGCGATAAATTCGCCATTTTTGATTAGTGTCTACTCTCAGCTGAGCACCTACTTCTGGAATTTAATTTGTGGATGGTGACTAGCAGTGGAATCCAGGATGCGCATTTCGTCCTATTTGGGACTCGTCTGCCAACTGGATGTACCTGCATTTCTCAGTGAGTGATGATGTTCCCACCAGAGAGGTTCGAACCCAGTGACCATAGTTTCAAAACGCCAAAGCGTTATCCACTAGACCACTTTGGCCACGACAGCCACCTCTTGTGCAACGGGATCGTATTAATTATTTTATTGAATTTTAGATTTTCCCGTGCGTCGGTGGTATAGCAGTTAGGATGCTCGCCAACCATGCACATGGTCCGGGGTTCGATCCCCGGCCGATGCACTTCTTTACCTCGCTAAGCCAGAAATAATTCTGGTAAATAGGTAAGGTTGGGAATGAGACTAGCAACCCTATCCTGTAAAATAAACACTGCTACGGAAACTTCAAATCACTAGCTTGAAGCCCTATGTTCTACTGGGGAACGTGAAGGAATATATATATATATATATATAAAAATTAGATTTTCCCGTCGACTGATTGGACTGAAGTGCTCAGGCCCATTGCACAAGAGGTGGCTCTCGTGGCTCAAATGGTCTAGTGGATAACGCTTTGGCATTTGACACTATGGGCACTGAGTTCGAGCCTCGGTGGAGACATCATCACTCACTTGGGAATGCAGGTACATCCAGGTGGCAGATAAGTCCCAAATAGGACAGAATGCGCGTTATCCTGGATTCCACTGCTAGTCACCATCCACCAATTAAATTCTTAGACATCGTCGAAGGATCTGCACAAGAAACCGACATGTCAACTTGAGACCGTGCACTTCGGTCAAATCAATCGACGGGAAAATCTAAAATTCAATTCTGGAGTTGCAAGATAAAAAATTAAGTTTGTATATAGCATTTCTTGCACAACAACTTGGACATCTCTAAGTCTCCTAAATACTCTTTATTGAGGAATGAATAAAGCTCAGTAAATCATAAATCAAAAAGTAAACATACACGAAGTGGGTTAGCTCATTTCCACCATACTTTCAAAATAGCCAGTAAATAAGTAGTAGATAGAGACAAAATGATTATAGAAAGGGGGATGAATACATAGTCATTATTTGGTCACAGGATTTCATCATCAACTGACATCGGTTAGAGAACCATTGGAAAAGCACCAGGGAGTACTGGGACAGCTATCCCGTCCTAGTTTGAGAGTCTTCAGCAGTACGCACTCACCGCTACGCTTCGAACCGAGGACCTCCTGGTTACAAGGCGAACTGGTGGAGCATTAAGCAATTGTGACCCGATCCAATGGCCAACTAGATAGGAAAAGTAACAAGTAACACTCTGTCAGGTAATGAACCAACCAAGGACCTATCGGGCACACCCGTTAGGTTCTTGAATGGGACCCGAACGGGCTTCCAAGGGTGTCATAGGGGAGATCGTGTTAGTGGAGAGATGAAGGAGTTCAGGCAAAAGTGGAGCGAGGTAAATAGAGCTGAAGCGAACAGGACGAAATGGGGATATGCTAGTGTAGCCTTATGTTCTACTAAGAACTCATGAGACGACGCCAATATGCTTCATTTCACATAAATATCACATAACACTGAAAACAACTCAATGACTCATTAGAGACATTTATGTACAAGGCTAAGAACGACACACAATATGAGAAGACTCATGACTTGATGCGGTTGTATATAGGTAGATTCAAGTAGATGGGAAAATAAATCTAACTCACATATTAAATCATACAGTGTGCGCTATGTCCGATATGTGTATACAACTATTTAAATTATTATTGTTCCCTTGGGTTCCTAGTGGAAGATAGGGCTTCAACTGCATGTCTCGACTTACATCTGTCTCTTGCTGAACTTTTCAAATGCATCCATGTTAGTCCATACTGTTTCAACTCCTCTTCACACGATCTCCTCCATGCCGCCCCCTTGCACTGACGCCCCAATCGCCGCTTCCCTTTCGGCCTGGTTCCACTCGAGCAATGGCCTGACGCACGCGCGATGTCACCCAGCGGCGGCCTCCTCAGCGAGTGTCCAATCCATCTCCACTTTCTCCCGCATATTTGTTTGTTGACGATTGGTTTGTTCTTGTTTTGTTTGTTCCTGCAGTTTCTTCTTGGTGATTCTTTCCGGCCATCTGATCTTCAGTACACAGCGAAGACAGTTGTTGATACAGGTCTGCAACAGGCTGTTGGAAGTATTGTTTGTGACCAACCCGCCAAGTTTCTGATCCGTATAGAAGAACTGACTGACTTGAGGTTGTTTGTATTGAAAATCCGACCGAATTTTGTTGTTGATTCTGGCTGAGTGACGAAGATTTCCAGATTGGTTGTTTCAGTTTGATGAATGTGTTTCTCGCCTTCCCGATTCTCGCTCGATTTGACATCCTCGTCTGTTCCGACACGTGTAGTTGAGACAATGCTCCCTAGATAAGTGAATGAAGTAACTAACCTCTTTCAAATCCCTCCCGTTGATGGTGATTGGCGCTGGATGTTGCTGCTGCTATTGTTGTTGTTGTTGGTTGGTTATTTTAATAACCTCCATCTTGTCTATGTTCACTTGGAGTCCTGTCTTCGCCTTTTCGCTTGTAAGTCTTCGATTTTGTGTAACATCAAGCATAAATCACCCACGCGCAAAATCAAGGTCTTCTAGGTTCTTCACGTCAGTCAGGATATCCCTGTCTTCTCGCTTCCCACTCACAGTCTGACGCATAATCCAGTCAAGTCCACCACAATTAGGAATATCATTGGTGATAATAAACACCCTTGTCTGACTCCTGTGTTTACTCCAAACGCCTCGCTGAGTTTTCCGTTGTGGATCACTTGACATGTGCCGTTGTCGTTGTGTATACAACTGCTTCAAAATTATTCATATTGGTCTGTCTCAATAAGCGCCCCACAGAGATATGACAATATAGTGGTAGTATGTAGTATATGCTCATAACGGATTCACTTACGAATCGAAAATGTAGCCAAGACATCTCTGATTTAAATGCAACTTCACTATAAGTCAGCATAAATGGGAGAAATCTGAAAGAGGCAACCTCCTTCACCTACCTACCTGGGAAAGCATCGTTTCAACTACAGGCGGACGGAACTGATGAGGATATCTACACGAGGATCGGGACAGCAAAACAAGCTTTCATCTCTCTCAAGTCTGTGTGTGAAGATCAACAGCACTCAGCATGAGAAATAAGATCCTGCTTTCCAACTCAAATGTGAAGTCAGTGCTACTATACAGATCAGAGACTTGGTGTGTCATGGAAGAGCAATTCGAACAAACTACAGACTTTCATCAACAGCTAGCTGTCTTCGCTCAATACTCAAGATCAGATGGCCGACCAGAAAAGATCAGCAGCTGGGATCTCTGTGAGCGAACCAACCAGCAACCGATTGTGCGACAAATAGGCAGGAATAAATGGAGGTGGATTGACCATACTCAGAGAAAACCATCAGGTGACATCGCAAGAGAGGCTCTCGAGTGGAATCCTAACGAGAAGCGGCGAGTTGGTCCTCAGTGTGACGGTGACATGGAGCAGCAGGTAATGTGAAGAGGAGATGAAAGCATGTGGGAAGACGTGGAGTCAGATGAAAATGTTGGCAGAGGACCGAACGCAATGGAGACGTGGGCGGCTGAAGCCCTATGTTCCTCTGGGAACTAAAGGAAACAATAATAATACTAATAATAAATAAGTCCTCGTACCTACAGCATGCTTCATATTACATGTTTACTTGAATGTGCAGGACTCTACAGGGAGTATCATTGTTCCTATTGACACCTAAACTCAACACCCATCAGAAATCATAATTTCGACAAAACAATCTTCCAGTCTTACACAGACTTTCAAAGTATAAATAAACATGACATGTGCCTTATAACCGATAAATGAAACTTACGATCTATCCGGGACAGGTATAATATTTGCTTTAATAGGTAGTTGAAGATATGTACTCATCGATTGATTTCGTATCTGAAAAGAGTATAAAAATAAATGTAGTGAAATCAACAGAGAGAGAATGCATCTGCAACATTGAAAATAATTTAAAACCCTGTCATCAACAGTCTCCAGACATTGATTCTTCGCATTTCGGCGGCCACAACCAATGATAAATGGGTCTATACACCTTCTTACTCTACGGCTCAAATAAGAGAGATTAAAGCGAACGAACACTTAATTACCCCCTTGAATTCACAAAGATCATCTGTTTGTGCCTTTCTAATCAATCAAAAATTTTGAAGCCTGTATTCAGATTTTTCCACTGATTGGCTTTTAAACAAAGTTCAGAAAACGGGGAAAATTTACTCTAAGGATCAGTAAATAAGCAGATTGTACAAATTTTGATTTTTTTGAGTGATCCAACCTGTGATATCTTTAAGAAAAAAAAGAAAAACATTCTCTACACAGTGATGCTCTCCAAATGGTTGGAGGACATCGTCAAGACATCTGACCGCTTTTATTTGCATATATTAGTTCACCTGTTCGACTAGTGCCAAGTGCAATGACGGGCGGTCACAGGATTTCATCATGTGCGGACATCAGTTAGAGAACCTGGAGGGAGTACTGGACAACTGTTTCTTCGGCCTAGTTTGGGACTGTTCACCAGCACCCACCCACACCATGGGGTTCTAATCCAGGACATTCTGGTTACAAGGCTAGCAAGCTCGTAGGCCATTAAGTGGCACTATGACCCGATCCAATGACCAACCCATAAATTGCAGCTTTTGCCAATTCATGATATAGAACGACTGGCACTAGCCAATATCATCGGTGGCGAGTATGTGTCCTCACACCTGACCTGCTGTACCCCACTGCTCATGACTTCCCACTAGAACCCAGGTGACTGCTGACCTGAATAGGGCCAGTCAGTAGTGAGCATTAGATTGGGATTTGATTAATGGGTTATAGGATTTCATCATTGACTGACACCGGTTAGAGGACCATTGGAAAACCTTGGTTCGAACCTCAGTTGGTGTGTACTGATGAAGACTCCCAAACTTGGTTGACGAAACAACTGTCCAGTACTCTTAGCTGGCTTTCCAATGGTCCTTTAACGGATATTAGTTCATAATGAAATCCTGTAACCAATCAATGAAATCCCATAAACCAATACTTGGTTATTATAACGGTTGTTTAACGCGTACCCTATCTGAAATGGTTGAGGAACACCACTCGGTATACTTGCCGAAAAGTGACAGCGGTTCTATAAGGAGAGCAATAATTGAAAAAATTCGTCGATACTGACCATCATATCTCAACTAGTTTCTCATTCAATGTGATCTACAAGGTGAAGAGTAGGCTGTCAAATGAAATACAATTTCGCCAATGTATTTTTTGAAGTTCTACTCACTTAGATAGAGCAACCAGAGCTCTGTATTCAAAAGAGAATTCTTATGTAATAGTAGAGACCCTGTTAGCTTCAATCAATAGATGTTCTGTTTCTTATGTTTCGCCACTTTTGCTAACTGCTCTATTCCTTCGGAATTCAACGTAATATCACATTTACTCTATTTTTTTTGCCTTCACGTTCCCCAGTGGAACAGGGGGCTTCAGGCTGGAGGCCTGAAGTTTCTGTAGCAGTGTTTATTTTTACAGGATGAGGTTGCTAGCTTCATGCCCAACCTTTCCTCCTTACTAGCTTTATTACTGGCTTAGCGAGGTAAAGGAGTGTGTCGGCTGGGAATCGAACACCGGACCATGTGCATGGTCGGCGAGCGTCCTAACCGCTGTGCCACCGACGCACACAAACGACATAAAATAGAATGTCTAAATAGATATATCGTATTCTGTTGCTAATGCAGTACTGAGCTGTTTGAATATGTGAGAATAATATTCCTGTGGCACACATTATCTGTATCACACCACCACAATAGAACCTACACAACTCGAATCGATTGGAGTATTTTAATAATTACGAAGAAATTAAGAAAATCAGTTCAAAGAAGTTTTTAATGCTGGCGAACTACACGTATTATTCTCTACACGACTGATGGTGCTACCTCGACTGAAAGATGAAGTACCTAGACTAGTTAGCCACTTCAAATTGTATCTACCAATTAAACTGCTCTCGTGTGGTGGAGCGAGTTATATTGGCCGTTGCTCTAGGAAATTGATTTTTCGTGCTTGCTCGAGAACATATCCCAATATGGCTAAGTACAGGTGCAATGAAAACCATTAACAGTTCGATATTGGACCATCTGGTGCGAACCCGCCACAAAGCCAGTCAGTGTAGAAGAATCATTCTCTATAATCTACCGGGTGCCTAATAAGTTGCCGAAATCATCGAAGCACCGCATGCTTCAAACAGCAGAGGCTATTGCAATTCGCCTCAAACAACCAGTGCTCTGTGTTCAAAAGAAGCAAGTCCAGCTAGCCAGTAGTAGTGCCCTGGCTGGCCTTCAGTAGAGACTGAAAATTCATGAATTTGTATCTTTCCCAATTCTTCTGACATTCAGCTTATTTTATGTTGATGCGACTCAGCTGTAATCTATCAATATTATTGATTCGATGTTATTTAAACAGGAACATTAATGTTGTTCATAACACTAATTCATTCACTATAATGTTGTATATATAACTGTAGAGCCTAATGAAGAAGGCGTTATCGAAAAGAGTAATCTTTGTTCAGTATCCATTCTTTTGAAAAATCTTAATAATAGTTATACAACAATCGTTTAATACTTACATGATCATAGGATTCTACAACAAGACTGATATAACCCTCAGCTATACCAGAGAAATGTGAATTTGGTATAGTCTCATCATTATGGATGAATCAGGCGCCACGCTTAGATGTACAGCTAAATATCCAACCCATGGCCAGAGATAAGATGAATACGTTACGCCCACGTGTAGACGATGTCCATTACCTTTAATAAATGGATGATAGACAGGCCTCTGGTGGATACGACCAATCACATGCATAGAGTTTAAAATTGTTACCTTAACAAAAGAATAAAATGAAGACATTAAGATGACAGAAGAGAAAAATAAAAACTGAAGAATTTAAAAAGAACCACGTAATCACCATAGATGAGGCGGTGGTTAAGCGGTAGAATATTCGCCAACCGCCCTACATGTGGTCCGGGGTTCGATCCCCGGACTCCCACACCTCGCTAAAGCCCTTATTAAGAACGTGAAAAATGCAAGGTTGGGCATGCATGAGGCTAGCAACCCCATCCCGTAAAAGAAACACTTCTGCTACCGAAACTTTAAAGCTCTAGATTCAAGATCTATATCCAAGTGGGAACTCCTTCTTCCTGTCTCGTTCTCGTGTTACATCGTGCAAATTGGTGAGTTATATTCATGCTAGGCGTAGGGTGGTGTTAGATGATGAGGGAAAGTCAATCGATGAGACTGTGAGGCTTCATCGATTCAGATGGCTAGGATATATATTGAGCATGCCGAGTCATCCTCCTCCTCGATGAACCAAGTTAGCTGATATAAGATCAGGATGGATAAGACTTAGAGAGGATCGAGTCAATGTGGTCCTTGACAGTTAGTTAGTTTGACCCACGTAGCACAGTGTAGACTGTCTTATCCGAGTCTTCGGGATGTTAGGGAAATGAATAGCTGGAGACTATTGGTGATGATACCCCTGCAAATAGACCTCAATAGAGCAGATAAATTCTCTCATTCTCATCTCCTCCCGTATCAATTGAACACTGGTGTGTTTTCCATGGTGTGTCGGTGGCACAGTGGTTAGGACTCTCGCAGATCATGCACATGGTCCGGGGTTCGAGCCCATGCCGACGCACACCTGATATCTATGGTCGGCCTGCGAATTTTGGGCTACCGATATCCACGCTGAAAATTCCACACTTGTACCAAAAATACAGTGTGGAATCAAGCTGTAATCAAAAATAAAAAATAAATAAATAATGTAAATATTCTTTCAGAATATTCAGAAGCAACACGAGTTCCTTCAAGGTCGCAGATATGCCTCGCTGACTGGTGAGTGCCAACTAGCACGGAACATATGTTGGCCAAGCCTTTCTGCTGATTGCCTCCAACCATCTAATACACTATCCCATCATTTTGCACCGTGATGGCAAGCCCCACCACCTAGTGCCATGGTAGCTACATTGCAAACCTGACTGACAGAATTCAGTCTGCACAAGAGTAAGGAATCGACACCATTACACCAGTTACTAATTGTTTTTTATTCCTTCAAGTTCCCCAGTGGAACATAGGGCTTCAAGCTAGAGGCTTGAAGTTTCTGTAACAGTGCTGATTATTTTTACAGGATAGGGTTGCTAGTTTCATGTCCAACCTTCCCTCTTTACCGGTACTACTACCGGCTTACCGAGGGTTTTAGGAGTGCATCGGTCAGGGATCGAACCCCAGACCATCAGCCTGGTCGGCAAGCAGTCTACCACCGTGTCCCCGACGGGCACACTAGTTACTAGTACTCAATCAAAATATTCTTTCTCCGTCACATTTCTGCATATTAAAATACTTTATAGTCTCTTTTTTCTCTCTAACTTCTGTCCACCTTTGCGCGCTCAATCAAAGTGGCCACTTGAGGTGGTGTACTTCTGTGTAAAGTCCTACGTTGAGACTCCGTCATTCAGTCGGTCACTAGCCACCAGAGTACTTTCGTTCACTATTTTACAATTATTAATGTTATTCGCTGGGTTCCGAGTGGAAAACAGGGCTTCAACAACGCATTTCCACTTTGTTCTATTTTCTGCTATCCTTTTGAGCTGCGTCAACGATTGACCATAATCTCTCATCTCCTACTCACACAACTTCTCCATGTCACCTTGAAGGAACTCATGTCGCCTCTGAGTATTCTGAAAGAATATTTACATGGGAAACACATCAGTGTTCAATTGATACGGGAGGAGATAAGAATGAGAGAATTCATCTGCACCATTGAGGATGATTTCTAGGCGTATTATCACCAATATTCTCTCCAGTCATTGATCCTCTTAACATCCTGAGGAATCCGATCAGAAAGTCTACACCGCGCTACTTGTCTCAAACTAACTAACTAACTGTCAAGGACTTCATTGACTGATGCTGGATTTTCATATGATTCCCTTTAAGTCATATCCACTCTAATCTTATATCAGCTATCATGATCCATTGAGGAGAAGGATGGCTCGGCATGATCGATATATATATCCTAGCCATCTAAATCGGTAAAGCCTCACAGCCTCATAGATTGACTTACATTTACTATTCAACACTCTAAGCCTAACTTCAATATTGCTCACCGATTTGCATGGTGTTACACGCGAGAGATAACCGAGACATCCGACTAGTGCTTTCCCATTCTGCTTTGAATTGATACCTTGAAGGGTGTGTGATCTCACTCAACGATCTTTCACTGGGTGTTCAATGCATCTCCATTTCCTCAGGTATAGTTGTTGGGCGGTAGGTTCTTCATATGCTCGCTGACTGACAGAGCATCCTGTAGTCAATCTTCTCTTGCAATCTGATCTTCAGTAATGGAGAGAATGGTGCAGGTGCTGATGGAATTTTTAGGCAGTTTTTTGGGAAATGCTTTTCGTGATGCGCTAAGCCTCTGAACTATATAGAAGCACTTACATGACACTGGATGTGATGCTCCGGATCTTGTTCCTTACGTTCAGTGGAGCGGAAAATTACACCAATCACAGAGGATTTAGGGTCTCTCTTGCTTTTCCTTTCCTGATTACCTTTGACATTCTCATCCGTACTACTCTTCTGGTTAAAACGATGCTGCCTAGGGGAGTACTCGCTGCCTCTCCTGCCAGCATGTTGGTTTTCGTCTTTAGATCTTCCAATTTATGTGACAATAGACATAAGTCGTCGACGAAGTTATTACCATTTCTAGTCTAACGTATTCTTGTTTTCTCGCTGTCTATGGTTTGCTATGTGATCCAGTCTACTACAATCAGAGATATAGTATCAGTGACAGTAGGCAGTATTGTCCTACACTTGTCATCACTTCAGAGGCTTCGCCGCTGGGTTTTCCGTCGCAAATCCAAGGCGAATTATAAGACCACACTGTCATTTGTGACAGAATCTAATGGGGTTTCAATTGTTGTTTTTTCAAAACAGACAGCTGTGATAATTAGTAAAACGTAAGCCAAATCCACTTACATTAATTACAATAGGACGCATTGTAGCATATAACGGCTGAGAACAATATGGCCACATATATGGACATTGAGTTAAATCCAAATAACTTGGCATAAGACTAGCTTGAGGTTTCATACGTTGTACAGTCTGTGAAGTGAAAGGTGAAATTATAAAAATAACGGCAATTAATATAGGAGATAAATATTATTCAGTTAGAGAGCCATTGAAAAACAGCCAGGGGGAGTGTACTGGACAGTTGTTTCGGCAGTCTGTTATGGGACTCTTAAGCAGTACGCAACCACCACCATGGTTCGCACCTTCTGGTTATAAGACTAGAGAACTCGTAGGCCATTAAGCCAGTCGGACATGATCCAACTGCTAGCCCATGAATTCCAACTTTTGCCAAATCATGACATAGCGCGACCACTTCGCAATATCTTCTTCGATGAGTCACTGACTCACCTTCAACCTGCTGTACCTTACTGGTCACGGCTTCCCACTGGAACGCCAGGTCACTACCTGAATAGGGCCAGTCGGCTGCAGCAGGTTGAAGGTGAGGTGAAAACTCACCGAAGAAGACATTGCAAAGTGGTCGCGCCATATCATGAATTAGCAGATGATGTTAGAATTCATGGGTTGGCCATTCAATCGGGTTTCAGTGGCTTAATGGGCTACGAGCGCGCTAGCCTTGTAACCAGAAGGTCCTGGGTGCGATCCTCGTAGTGTCGGTGGGTACTACTGAAGGGTACCAAACTAGGCTGACAAAAAAGCTGTCCAGTACTCCTTGGTGGTTTCTCAGTGACTCTCTAACTGATGTCAGCTCATGATGAAATCCTCCAACCAATCAAACTAAATCCTTAAAAAAACCTATACTAGAAAGTTTTGAAGTAACGGAGCGGTACATCTGTAACTGAGTAGTACAGTACTCAGAAACGACGCACATGGTCTAGGGCTCGATTCCTAGCGGACTCACTTCTTTACCTTGCCTGGCCAGTAGTAAATAAGCCCAATCGAACAGAAAGTCCGGCATGAGACTAGGAACCCCATCCAGTATGAAAAATAAGCACGCCATCGATACTGAAACCTCACAGCTCACACATCAAGCCCTAAGCTCCACTCGAAACGCAAATGAATGAAGGAGAAGGCGGGGTGGTAGCTTTTGTAAATTGAAGCTACAATTAGATGTTTTAAGTATCTTGCCACGATTATACGTCATTTTTATAAATAAATAAATAAGTCTGTTACCAACAGCTACTTTTTTCTCGGCCATTACAATGGAGGTCATTTTCTTATTCAAGTCTGCGAAAATGTTTCGGGAAGTGAACAAACCAAGAATATATTTGATTGGATACACTCTGAAAAAGCCATTCAGTGACATCACCCGCCGGAGCTTAGAGTAGGACCCCAACGGGAAACGACAAGTCGATCATCGAGGGTAACATGGAGAATCTCACATATTAGGAAGTATGAGATTGCTGAAAACCATAAAGCCAGATAAAATTGATGCCGGAGAGTAGAGAGTAATGCAGGTCTGCTGTTGAAGCCCTATTTTCCACACGGGACTCAAAGAAAGAGTAATAGTAATGAGGAGTGTCACACTGGAGTTGACTACATGCATTTTTTTTATAGGCTACGTTCTATAAAATTAAAATCAAACCTAAGAGAAAATATACAGAGAGCCTTAAGGGAAACTACAAGGGATGGTTTAAAGGCCTCCTCCTTTTCTAAAGCCTCCTTATAAAAATGACAGAACAGCGTAGTCAGACACTTAGTTTATCTTATTACCACCGGAGATTTGTCCAGCCAGCGATAACTGGCTACAGTCATCTCAATACGTAGATACACTTTCTAACATGGAAGAATCCAATAGAACAGTAGTTTCATCAAGCAAACAAGAAACCAGTTGTTTCATTAAGATTTACAGTCTTCACGTTAACATTGATCGACCGACTTTTAAACGTAAACCTCTGCAAAAAAAGTATATCAATTCAAGTTGCTACAATTTACACAGGACACAAAGAAGAAAAAGAAATTTTAAACACTATAATGAGCAGAAATGTAAGGGTAGAAAGATAGTTATACAGAGAAACATGAGGACCTAATGTATCTGAGCAATTGGCAACAACTTTGAGCAATATCATCACGATTTTCAGCCACTGGTGACTGGTGTCTAGAGGACCCTTGTAAGGAAGTTTGCACCTCTACTACATGGCTCAAACCAACAGTCAAAGATATTCAGCTATTGGTTTTTTGGAATTTGATTGATCGGTTACAGGTTTTCATCATGAGCTGACATCGGTTAGAGAACCACTGGAAAACCACTACGGGGTACTGGACAGACAGCTGTTTCGTCAGCCAAGTTTCGGAACCTTCAGCAGTACACACCAACACTGCGGAGATCGAACCCAGGACCTTTTGGTTACAAGGCTAGCGAGCTACCTCATAGACCACAAAGTCACTGGGATCCAATTCAATGGCCCATGAACCCCGGTGGGTGCGTACTGATGAAGAGTCCTAAACCAGGCTGACTAAACAACTGTCCAGTACTCCCTGATTAGTTTCCCAATGGTTCTCTAACCGATGTCAGTTCACGATGAAATCCTGTAACCAGTCAAAGATATCATGGATTGATCTTCGTTTTTCAAAATAATCCTACATTATCTGATATTGTCTAACGACAAAGGCGATGGCACACGTAACACGTGCTGTGTCCTAGACATCGCAATCAATGAAGCTTCACAACCTGATCGATTGACACACCCTCCTTACGCCGAAAATTACTTGCTATATATCATATCACTTAACATGACAGATCTACGTTGACACAACACTTGTCAGTTGCTTAGAGAAGTCTAATACTAATATAAGATGTCCTGTGTTCAAATTCATTACCCACAAAGTAACCACTACAAAGTGTACCAGACAACTTTCAGATTATATTAACCTGCTATAAACTGCCTGAAGAAATCCCACGGATAGTTAGACCATTTTTTTTTTAAAAATTCAATTTGTAAGAAACAAAATTACCTCCAAAGCTGATTGAAGATTCACTAATCCAGCGCCTTGTTCAAATATACTACTTTGATCTGTCTCTTGCAACCATTTTATCGAATTGGTACCAAAAACACGTACTGAATCCAATGTATCTGCACTGGCAATTAAAGCTTGTTTAATACTAATCGGATTAATAGGAACAAATGAAAGAGACGAAGAAGATGATGACAATCCACTCACATCTTCGACTTGACTTGTATTGTTCTCGCTAGTGTTGCTGTTGGTAGTGTAAACAGTGTTTCGTTGATGTTCAGCAAGTAAGTTTGAATTATGATTTAAAGCAGCACTGTGAAGTAAAAGTGTTGAAGAGACAATAGGAAAACAACCAATCAGTATATGTATACAGCAATAATATATATATATATAATATTAAACAAAATGATCATTCATAATGGAAACTTTAGGCACCATATAATCAGATGAAAAAGAGATGAAAACATCCAGTTACCATGCAGGACAAAGAAAGAGTTTTCCCGCCGATCTTTCCTGGTCTTCCCAAATCTTGCTAGTTACTAGAAAGATGTTTCGCTTAACGTTCTACATTAGGAAATTTAGGCAGTCTGGCATAAAGCAGTCTTTGCTTTCTCAGTTTGTCAATTCTTGTATTCTACCCATCCCCCTTTACTACTCCCCATTAATCTTTCCTGGACTACTTAAGAAGAAGGACTTTGCTTTGCTCAGAAGGGCACTAAAAGCCGTTAGTAGGGCAAGTGGGATATCGTTAAACCAACTGGTTAACACTATTGTGGATAGACATATTATGTCATGTAAGAAACTGGCGAATACAATATTGTCAGACCCCGAGCATCCTCTCTATACGCAGCTGTCTCCTTGCATTTCATCTGGTAGAACTAGAAGCAGCTATAGGAGGCTATATGCTAGGACTACCAAATACAAAAACTCCACAATACCATATCTGGCACAGCTGTTATGTGATGAGAAATCCGTTAGGTATGACACGATCAACTTACTGCGGCACTCTAACAAATAGTCCCATTAGTTTTTGTTTTCCTTTCCTCGTTACTATTACACTGTTGTTCTCATCTTCTATCACACATCAACTTTATATTTCATATCCTGTGGTGCATTGTTTGAAATGTAAACTCTACGCTGTTTTTTTTAAAATTTTTATTTATCTTTTATTCTTTTGGCGTTGGTTTTTTTCATTTACTTATTTATTTTTTGATTTTAAAAATCTTGTAAAATTTATGGGAAAATTAGATGCAATATATTGTAATGCACGCTGAAAATTCCATACCTGTACCACAAATACCGTTTGGAATAAAGCTGTTAATATTATTATTATTATTATTATAAGACTGATAACCGCTTCTTTCCGAAAGCATAAATCAGGTACCAGGAGCTTGATAGAGATTGCTTCGGCAAGGAGAATTGAACTCTTTTGCGCCTACTGATAATTTTGAATGATATACGACGTCCACCTCATGACTCGTGTCAAGAAGATGCCTGGCTATGGCACGGTTTAAAGCATTTGTTCTCTTTAGACATAAGCTTTTTGGTACATGCTCAGAAAATCGTAGATATGTTCTTCTTTCTGTCCTTCCAATGTAACTGCTCCCGCAGATGCATGTAAATTTGTATACACAGTTGGAGTTAACATGAGAAGGACATCTGTCGATTTTAGATTGCACTGAGATCAAGGTGTTCAATACATGGGAACCAGCTTAGCTGTAGGATAGGTTCTGGCTAGTGAAGTCCTCAATCTTCTGTTAACAATTGCTGTAATATTTTCACCTTTAAAATCAGGTTAAATGTGGATAGGCTTTTTTCCACTGTGTTTTGCTTGACATTTAAGCCTTCAAATCTTCCGTACTTGTTAGTGAAACTTTGAGGTTATAGGGTTGGGAATATTTTCGAACAAGCTGCTGTACACTTTCATTGGAAAGGATAAGACAGAAGGATCTCTGTCAGGCAATCAACCAACAGGTAATAACCTACCACCGAACAAATATGCAGAAGACAGCGGAGGTGGACTCGACCTAAACTGACGAGGCATTCAAGTGATACCATAAATCGTTCAAACCGTTGTGTACAACCTGAACAAGAAACAACAAGTTGGACGTCATTTCGAGACTGACATGGTGGGAGATTAGATGAAGAGGGAATACAGCCTTATGCGGCAATCATGGAGCCATCCAAAACAAGAATATTTCAGAGGAGATGTGTTGATGAAGTTCTCTGTTCCACTCGGAGTCCAAATGATAATAATAATAATACTGCTAGAGTTATAACATTGGACGTGATTCACTTCAAAGCCAGAGTAAGTATACGTAGCTGTTGAGTTCCATGTTATAAAACATGTTTTTGGATGAATCTTACTACACTAAACCATAACGCTACCACCAACACATACACAGTAGAATAAAGTTGATGAACTTTAGAACTACTTCAAAATCACACCTGTAGAGGAAAATCGTTTCACTTCCTAGCAGAAGATAATCAAACCAGTGTTTCACTTCAGATAGCTTTTTGTATTGCTAGGCGCGCATATCCACCAAAGTGTATCTGAAACCAAGTTAATATTATTATTATTAAGACACGTCATTAGCGCATTATGTGCGCCAAAGAACGTACCATACTAAATCGCATAGCTTTTGTGAGGGTTGGGACACTGTCCAGACGCCCAGACTGAAGCAGGTTGTGTTCTTGAGGCGCCACCTCCTCTCCGAGCCTTTGATTTCAATTCACATTCACAAGGTAGTGGAACAACGTAAATAGCTAATTTTCCAAGGTTTCTGGTGACTAAAACAGATGCATCTGATCCTTTAGGAACTCCGAGCCTATGTACACACCATATGTCTGGAATCAAAGTTTTCCAGCTCGCTTAGGTAGACCTACGTATTCACCAGCCCGATCTTAAGCACCAGAAGTTCTTATTCTTCGTCTCACTTTTGTGAGGAACACCGCCGCATCGTGAAGGTAGTAAACAGGATTTATCTGACAGAGGCTATGAGAATGCGTGAGACCACATGGGAGCATTTCTGCCTAGGGAGGGCCGAAGTCAACCCGCCCTGAAATCTAAAGGGGATTAGTGTTCGGTGTGAGATTTGAAAATGTAACAAAATCATGCAGCTCACTAGTACATCATTCAAATGTCTACATCAATCCCTAAATGTCAGCGAGAAAAAGAATTACCGAGTTATCAAATATACATGTATTCACTTACTTAATCAGTAAGATAACGACTCCAGTAACAATCGGCGAAGCTACACTCGTTCCAGATAGTACACGACATTTTCCGTCTAAACCAGAACTGATTACACCAGTAGAAAATGTCACAATGTCTGGTTTAACACGCCCATAACCTGTCGGCAACTCCTAGAGTAACACAGGAGTAAAAAAGGAAGAAGAAGAAGACAAGAAAGCATAAAGCAGAATATACAAGAGTACACTATTTGTAATAACTATTTAATGGTATCGCTCATTACTAATCGAAACCAAACTTCTGAGTCCATTTACGTCTATGACCCTATAAAAAGACCCAGTCCAGGACTAAGTATTGTCGAGCAAGTTGCCACTGATGACAAGTGAGGATCTAAATGCTCACGTTAAAAAACCGTTGTGCCAAATGCGTGTAAAACGTATCCAGGGTCCTCTAAAGATAATATTTACGAATGACTGGTACCAATTGTTACAAACTACTCACACACGTAAAAATAAGTAGTATATACATTACTTATTATTTTACAAAAAAATATTGGAAAGAAACTCTGATCAGAGTGGTGGTTATAACTGCGAAGCTTTGGTTATCCTTCTGAACTAATGCAAGCTTCATTATATTATTATTTCCTATAATTGCTAGAGGAACATACGGGTTCAGCCACCCACGTCTCCATTGTGTTCGGTTCTCCGCCAAAGTTTTCACCTAGCTCCACGTCTGCCCACATGCTTCCATCTCCTCTTCATATAACCTCCTCCATGTCACCCTCGCAGTGACAACCAACTCTCCGCTTCCCATTCGCTCGATTTCCACTCAATCAATGGCCTGGAGTGTCATGTCATTCACTTGGTGGTTTGTTTTCTCAGAGCATGATGACCAATCCACCTCCACTTATTCCTGCATATTTCTTGCACAATTGGTTCCTGATGGGTTGGTTGGTTCATTGCCGCAGATCTCTCCCTGTTGTTGATGTTTTCTAGCAGGCCATCTGATTATGAATGGTATTGAGCAAAGACAGCTGTTGATGGAGGTCTGTAGTTTGTTCGGAGTGCCCTTCGTGACGCGGCGCCAAGTATCTCATCCGTATAGTAAGTAGCACTGACTTCACATTGGAGTTGAAAATCCAGGTATAACTTTTCATGTTGAGTGCTGTTGATCTCCACACAGATATGAGAGAAATAAAAGCTTGTCTTGCTTTCCCGATCCTTGCTTAGATATCCTCATCAGTTGCACCTGTAGTTAGGACGACACTTCCCAAGTAGGTAAAGGAGGTTGTTTCTTTCAGATTCCGCCCATTTATGCTGTCAAGTTATTTGAATTCTCCAAGAATGATATTCATTGAATCTGCTGACAACCTTTGTGGTGATACACTTATATCACTGATGGAGAATCAAAATAACTTCAATTCATACTGATTTACGGCTCAGAAGTTGTTGTTCATTGAGACAAGGGTAGCTTCACAACTACATCGCCTAACTCCGAGATTACAGCCATTTCAAAATCACCCAATGAGCTTCAAATCTTCAATATTGATGCTAAAATAGGTAGATTTTAAACACGTGCTCATATAGTGACACTTAAGGGGATTATTATTATTATTGTATCCTTTAGTTCCTAGAGGAACATAGGGCTTCAGCTGCGCACCTCCATTGACTTCGGTTTTTTGACAACTTTTTCACCCTGCTCCAGGTCTGCCCACATGCTTTCATCTCCTCTTCACATGACCTCCTCCAAGTCACCCTTGGACGACCAACTCGCCGCCTCCCTTTCGGGTTCCACTCGAGCAATGGCTTGTCTAGTGATGTCACTTGATGGTTTCCTCAGCGTATGGCCAATCCATCTCCATTTCTTTCTGCCTATTTGTTTCACAATCGGTTCCTGATTGGTTCGCTCCCAGAGATCCCTGTTGCTGATCTTTTCTGGCCATCTGATCTTGAGTATTGAGCGGAGACAGTTGTTAATGAAGGTTTGAAGTTTGTTTGAGATGCTCTTTATGACTCGCCAAGTCTCTGATCCGTATAGTAGCACTGACTTCACATTGGAGTTGAAAATCCGGATCTTATTTTTGATGCTGAATGCTGTTGACCTCCACACAGATTTGAGAGTAATGAAAGCTTGTCTTGCTTTTCCGATTCTGGCTTTGATGTCCTCGTCAGTTCCGCCTGTAGTTGAGACGATGCTTCCCAGGTAGGTGAAGGAGGTTGTTTCTTTCAGGTTCTTCCCATTTATGCTTATTGTGGTCTGTTGGTGTTGTTGATTTTGGCTATGAATCTTCATTATCTCTGTTTTATCTATGTTCACGTGAAGTCCTATCTTTGATGCTTCTTCTGCCAACTTGTTACTTTTCACTTGCATATCTTCCAGTTTATGGGAAATCAGACATATATCATCGGCGAAATCCAGATCCTCCAAGTCTTTTGTGTCAGTCCATTTTATGCCTGTTCCCTCGTTGGTTGCCGTTGTCTGTCGCATTATCCAATCAATTGCAATCAGGAAGATCATTGGCGATAGTAGACAGCCTTGCCTCACTCCCGTCCTCACTTCGAAGGCTTCCGTAAGTTTCCCGTTGTGGATTACTTGGCATGCAGCATTGTCGTATAACTGTTGGATGAGATGTATAATTGTCGATGGGACCCCGTAGTAGCGAAGTAGTTGCCACATCACCTCTCGATCGACGCTGTCGAAGGCCTTTTCAAAGTCGATGAAGTTGAGATAGAGAGGTGACTGCCATTCCAAGCTTTGTTCAATGATGATCCGTAGAGTGGCGATTTGATCAGTACATGATTTGTTTCTCCTGAATCCAGCCTGTTCCGGACGAAGTTTTTCATCTAGGGCTTGTTTGATTCTCTCCAGGATGATGCGACTTAGTATCTTGCTTGGAATGGACAGAAGCATAATTCCCCGCCAGTTTTTACATTGACTTAAGGGGAAGTGAATTAATATGTTCACTCAGGTACACTAAAAGTTCATTCATTCTGCCAATATGAACGTAAGACATACTGACATATTCCTGATAAATTTTTCTCTACTATACATTATTATTGTTGTTATTCCCTTGAGTTCCGAGTGAAACATACGGCTTTAACAATAAATCTCTACTTTGTTTTGTTTTCTGTCATCCTCTTCAGCTGGGTGACCCCACGATTGACTATAATATCTCATCTCCTCCTGCAACACACACACACACACACACCATCTCCTCCATGTCATCCTCACACCGACGACTCACTCATCTCTTCCTCATTCGGATTCCACTCGAGCAATGGCCTGCATTGCACGCGATGTCATCCACGGTTTCCTCAATGTATACCCTCTATCCATCTCCGTTTACGCCTACATATTTGTTGAGCAATCAGCTCTAGCCTGTTGATTTCTACCTAGCCAGATTTTGCTTGTTTCTAATTCTTTCTAGCCAGCCATTTGATCTTCAGTATGGAGCAAACGGACGAGGCACCTATTGATGAAAGTCTGCAACTAACTGTTAGAATTCCTTTTAGTGTCACACTGGCTACTTTCTGACCCGTAGAGAAGAACCGACTTCATATTGATGATGAAAATACGAACCGTGTTCCTTATGCTGAGTTACTGCGGAAGATTTCCAAATTGGTTTCACGTTGATGAAGGTGTATCTTACCTTTCCGATTCTGACTGGTGTTGACATCTTCATCCGTGCCATCCACCGGTAGTTGAAACGATGCTTCCTGGCCATATAAGTGAAGGAAGCAACCTGTGTTAATTCTCTCCCATTGATGGTGATTGGTGCTGGTTTTTACTGCTGTTGCGGTCCGTTGGTTATCTTCATCCCTCCGTCTTCTCTTTGTGTTCACCTGCAGTCCTGTTTTCGCTACCAGCCTCTTCAGCCAGTTTGTTGGTTTTCGCCTGCCTACCTGCCTGCCTGTAAGTCTTCGACTTGGTATGACAGTTAAACATAAATCATGCACACGCGAAATTCAGATCTTCTAAAGTCTTCTTACCTGTCGTCCGGCGTATTCCTGACCCTTTGCTCTCAGCAGTCTGACGCATAATCCAGACCACTACAATTAAAAATATCATCGGTGATAATAGGCACCCTTGTCTTACTGCTGTATGCACTTCGAATGCCTCGCTGAGTTTTCCATTGCGGGATGCTTGACACGTGGCATTGTCATACAGATGTTGAATGAGGTTGATAAAGACTTGAGGTACGCCGTAGTGTTGAAGGAGTTTCCAAATTACTTCCCGGTCTACGCTGTCAAAAGCCTTTTCGAAGTCAATGAAGTTGAGGTAGACAGAGGTTTGACTGCCATTCTATGCTTTGTTTTGTAATGACGACGCATGATTTAACTTTCCTGAATTCAGCTTGCTCTGTTTGGAGGCGGAGTTCTGTATTTAGTGCATCCTTTATTCTCTTCTAAGGATGATGTGACATAGTATTTTAACTTGCTATGGACAAGAACATTATTCCACGGCAGTTATTGCACAGGTCTAAGTCTCTCTTATTTGGCAGCTTGATGAGGGAGCTCTTCTTCCAATTGGTAGGTACCATTCCTTCTTTTTTTCAAACTTTTTGCAGTAATGGAAATTTTCTCTAACTGATATCAATGCGTGATAAATGGTTGAGATAAATCGATTGTTCGCTAGTCACCGACTACGTGACGAAGCTGTTTGCATTTCTAGATAGAATCCGTGACTATTGGGGTTCATTACGTTGGGTGTTAGTAAAAGTACTTGACAAAAGGTTCAATGCACAGACCATAGAGTTCCTGTAAAAGTGGATGAATTGGCGTCGTAACCTGGTGTTTGTAGGTTCGACCCCTGGTAGGGTCGTGAGTACGTACTGCTGAGGGGTCCGAAACTGGGACTAAATATCTATCCAGTACTTTTTGATATCAATGCGCCATCAAATTAGAAACAAATAAAAGTGGTCAATTAACCAAAAACAATCCACTATGTCTTGTATTATGAATGTCTGTCTGTTTTCAACATAGAACTTTGCACAAATGTGCAGCAGTTCAAGTCGCCACACACCCTCCATGTAGCACACAAAGCAACAGAAGAAAGTAGAAGAAATGCATAATAGAGACAGCAAACAGAGGTGTGAGACAAAGGAGGAGTAATAACGAAGAATAAAACAGTTTCATTGGAAATCATAAGTCACAAGGAGTGGATGCATCTGCGC